ACATGCGTTCATGCATGCATGCGCACACACATATACACACAAATGCACACACATTGTGATCTTGCTCTACTTTGGGCTGTGCTCCACATGAAAGCATAGATGCTTCCTGCTGTTTGAGACGAGCTGTGTGTAGCACTGCAAAAGAACATACAGGTCTGTATATACATGTAGACGGACAGGTCTGCGTGGAGACCAGAGCAGGTGAGATTGTATCCATCTTGTGCTTTGTGGAATATCTCTCTTCCTTTACCTCTCTCCATGTCTGTTTTTTTTTCTTTTTTATATATTTTTTATTTATTTTTTATTTGCCTCTTCCTTCTTCTTTTTCGTCCTCTTCTGCTTCTTTTTTCTTCCTTTTATTCTTCTCCTTCTTCCTCTCCTCTTCTTTTTCTTCTTCTTCTGCATGTCCCCAGAGAGTAAAGTAAATGAATTTCCTTCTTCCTTCTTCAGATCAAACAGCAAATATCATTTCTTCTGTCAGTTTCTTTTCCTTACTTTTTTTAAAGAGATTTTTTTTTAATCTGGAAATTTAAACGAAATACAAGCATAAAAAATTCCAGGTTTCGTTGTAATCATATTTTTCATGCTCCTGACTAATCACTCCCTCAAAAAAAAAAAAGCGAATATAGAAAGAGAATGTATCATTGTGTTCTACAAATGGCACTCCACAAATGTGGAGGCACTGTGCCCTTGACTATCCCCCTGCTGAAAGTAAGTCTTAGCCAATTAACAACGTCTTCCACTAGGTCTACATGTGCACACGCAAACACACATGTGCGTGCACTCAAACACACCCAAACCTCGCAGCTCATGGGACTAAACCTCATTAACTGCTCTGAGACAGACACTCTCTCTTTAATCAATCCTTTTCTAAGACTGCGTGCGCACAGAGGAGCGTTGACAATACAACGTGCAAATGCACACTCGCACACAAACACATATACTTGGGAAGGGGGGGGCTTAGATACATTCACACACTGGTCTCCCAGAGAGAAAAACATGGTCATTTGCCAGGGTGATTCAACTCTAAAACACCCTAATTACATCGACAAAGCCACTTTGTTTTGGTGCTGGATGAAATGTGAATGATTTTGCATATTATTATTATGCCTCTGAAATATTAACCAACCCCAAGGGAGTTTATCTGCTCTTTTAAATATATGCAAATTATTTTATTTTGGTTTGGTTTGTTTCCAATGACTTTTGTGAATTGTGTTTGGATAATTAAATGAGTGCGTGCAGATGTAGAATCGCAGGCAGTACCTACATGATATGATGATCCGCCAGATTAGCATACAAATTAGGAATGTTGCACCTCGACTGCTAATCGACTAACTTTTGTTTTCACTGTAACCTTGACCTATTTGAAACATCCACCCAGTGCTTCACCAACCGAGAGGGAATGTAAACACTGCTCCCCCGGCTTATGAATTGATAAGGCTCGTTTGATATTGTCCTTCATCCCAAACACTCCTCGTTTCACGTGTGTCAAGCTCCTTCAAATATGACTTGGCCTTCTATCTCGCAAATTCGCGTAGCTCCGCTGGACTGATGCTGTGCAGGAGATTTACTGCGAGCACTACAGGTACTGTGGCTTTCAAATGACGTATTGGACCTGGAAGAGTTGATGTGCAGAGCGCCAACATTTCAGCTCTGTCTTACCTCACTGATTGCCTTGTGAATCCCTGATGGGTTCCGCTTCGTACATAATCATTTCCCTAACATGGGATAATTTGATTCTATTACTCTAACAACAGCGCAAACAAATTGCCTACGTAATTTATTGTGCCAATAATAGCAAAAACAGATGTGGTAATGGCACTGCAGTTTTCCAACCCCACATTTATATGGACTTAAACCAAACTGCATATAATTGTTAAAATACATTTATGAACACCCACCCAACATTTTCATTGCCCAAACATGTCTAATTATGGTTTGGCAAAAAGGGGGTGATCTCCAGCCCCCGTTTCTTAATTCTTTTATACTTTTACACAGCTTTCAAAACTCCCCCTAGGTCTGTTTTTTCCACAACTTCCCCCATCAGTTCCACAGATTCCTCTCTCCTTGTCCGAGTCGATTCCTGGTTAAAGGTTCAAGAGGCAAAACAACCTCAGATATGCTGTCTTTACTGTATCTCAATCCTCTACAATAGGCCTTGCCTCTTGCTCTCCTCTGCACGCTCTACCTCTCCTTTCACTGGTGTTCTTTATGCCCTCTAAAGCCCTCTGCTCTGTCCCATTTCTCCCATTGCCTCGGGTCCTTTTTGACACCACTGGCATGTTAATGGCCCAATCAGAGCCACTGTCCTTGAGACTCTCACTTTGGCTCATTTTCATACACCTCACCACCCCACCTCCCCTCTCAGATTTATAACCTCTGCTGCTTACTGCTCCAGATGTTTTGTTCTGTTTTTTACTCTCTGTAATTGCTAATTCAATCTGGCTGTAAAGGAGCAGATGCTCTCAGAACTCGAGCATACCTGTGTGGGTTTCACTCTGTGTGTGTCTGCGTGCGTATGTGTGCGCGAATGCTTTCCTGCCCGTGTTTAAAGCAACACGATCGACTCTAACACCCCTGACTCATAAACATAACCCCCTCACAATTACGCCTAGCTCACTTATTCTTGCAGGGAGAATAAGACAACAGCGGTTTTAACTCGCACACAATTGCACACTGGCATCAACTTCCATTACACCCTGCATTACTGTCACCCTTAAATCACCACTGCTGAGGTTATGCTGGTTTAGCAGGACTGACAAGTTGGCTTTGGAGGTCTAAACTGCGGTGGGAGCCTTCTCATCAGCCTCCTTGTATTTATTTATTTTTTATCATCTTCCATCCTTTTTCTCACCAGAGAAAGTGGCAATCCACTCCGGTTTAGAGAGAAAAATAAACAGACTGGTTATCCGCAGGAATGCGAATGCTACTCTCGTCCCATTAGGAACATCTGCGAGTGTGGCTTGAGATCACAGCGGGTTGTCTGTACGACTTTGAACATGTGACAAGCGGCCTCATTGTTTAAGCATATTCAATACCTACACACTGTGCCAGATACGCTCTGTGCACTTGCATAACATATCTATGAAGGGCACACATATTTACAACACATTTACATGAAAGCAAAGACCCACATAAAAGCGCACACCCATCATTCCTTGCTCACATACCCACACACACACACACACACACACACACACACACACACACATGAACACCACTGTGGACCTGTCATGTGTCATGCAGACAGGGGTCAGATACTGTGTGATGTGTGTGGGGGTTATATCGCTTGGGAAAAAGGACTAAAGATCTTACCGGGGCTGCAAGAGGGCCAACAATAACAGCCTGAAATATAACAGCAGCAAAAGAACCCTCGCAGTGACAGGAGGAAAGCCGGGCCCCAAGCCAAGCGACTCCACAGATCAGAAACTCTTCCACGGGGCACAGAGATGGGCAGGATCACTAATTCATTGCTAATGTGCAAAACAAAGAACATTGTTTTATAATGACACTGTAAAACAGCAAAAGAAAAAGAGCGCCAAGTGTTTCGGCAGATTGGAAGCACATGTTTGAGAAGGAAGAATAATGGCAGAGCTGTGCAAGTTTTTCTGCGCGCATTCCCAGTTCAAGATGATGCTCTGACCACATTTGTCATGGGAACTTCAGCCATGTAAACACACAGCCTTGACTCCCAGTGGTTGCACCGACTGACACACACACATATGCACACACACACTTGAACAGCGCCGAGCACACTCACCCGTGTGCAACACACAAGCATTCTCCAGTACCAGAAAAGTCAGAGTGCCCCCTAGTGCTGCTTGCTTTACCATTACCATGTGTTTGTCTTCCCCAGTATTTCATCTCCTAAAACTCACAAGTCGTTAGTGACAACTTGGTCTCAGTAGACCAAATTGATGATCAACTGAGGAGCAAGATGATGAATAGAAGACATGGTTACAAAATATGAAATATCAAGAAAGGGTTTCCTTTCTTTCTTTCTTTCTTTTTTTTAACATATCCAAAGAAAGAATGTCTACACAGATTCTTGCAAAATATGTTTTTTTTCCCTTTCTTTTTTGAACTTTGAGTCTGTGCAAAGCTTTCTTTGGCATCACCTCTCAGCCATGAATAATGCTCAAGATTATACTTTTACAATTAAGTCTTCTGCCAGTACCTTTTTCTCTCCCTGTGCCGCACAGCATTGCACTGTTTTCACAACAAAATTCTCAAACACTCACATTCACCCCTTCACACGGGATTCTGATCTTTAAGGACACGGGGCTTTTTCAATCAAAGCTTTGATTGAATACTTTGCCATCCTCAGCACTTACACAAACGCAAATACACACCAGTTGTTGACAGAGAATGTCTCGAGCAACATCATTTACCACTTAGGCCCCTCCCCGAGGACCGTGCCATTCCTAATGCGAGCCAGATAGTTTGATAGCCCTGGTTTCTGTCGAGAAGTGCACGTCAATCAACAGCTCGTGTCAACGTCACCAAGGCAAAGTGTTTCTGAAAGATCTTTTTACTGAGTGCCTTTCTAGCCATCCCTTTCCCACCACACCCTACACGCAGTCACACACACACAAACAAAAACACACTCAACACATGCACAAACATACACACAGCCATTTCCATCTCAGCAATCACTTCTTCTAGAGTTCTCCTTTTTCGGACGTGTAACAGTAATTGAGGTTTTTCCCTTGGGTGCAGTGCATTCTGGGCCGTTAAGTGCTGTTTCTTGTTTTTTTTTTCTCAAATGGGTTGTATTTTGGCTATTGTGTTGTTTCTTTCTGCTTTCCTATAGAAGTGTAAGCAGTGGGCCATATTTACATGTATCATTAGAGAATAGAAGCCCTGTCGATTGCGGGGCATGAGTGGGTTTATCTTGCCCCGTGGAATATCAATCAATACGACAAAGAGGCTTAACACTTTTTGTACACGCCCAGTCACTGGAGAATCAAGAAAAATAAAGATGTTTCAGATAAAATGACTACTGCCAATCATTTAATTCATCCCAAATAAAAATGACCCTCTGGAATACATATACAGGTAACTCATGAGCCAATCGTGTCTATTAAATATAATACACAGTCTTTCAAGGGTGTTCACTTGCTATGCTGACCTCCCTGCACTCCACATAAGGCCTGGTTTGAGTACACTCCGTGACCTTTCTGCACGTTGATGACGTTGTCCGTCCAGAAGAGGGAGTGATTGATCTGGATTGACACAAACAGCCAGTGCCCTGCCTGGCCTGTCACACAGCATCACTGGGTCACTGTAGCATGCCTGAATGCCAGATGAGGAGGGATGGTGAACACATGGGGTGGTGACCCGCTGTCTGTGATGCAGCCCATAGTTTGGGGGAAGCTGGAGTTCATCTGGACAAAGAAGAGCACCCATTCCAATAGTGCAGGAAGCTGTGTGAAGTCAAAGCCAAAGAATTTTGCTATGAAATAACAAACTGAGGAAAACGTGTTATAGAAATGGTAACTCTAGACAGTATAACATTGTATTTTGGAGATGTGTGATAGCATAAAATATCTAATACTGAACAATATATTCAAAGATCTCTTACATCCAGTTTTATCTTCATGTTTGTTTTTGAGTTTGTTTTTTTAAGGAACTGAAATTGTTTAGTTCTCAGTGCTCTCTAATAGGAAAAAAACCCTTTTGTCACTACTATGGCAACACTGGCCTAATGCAGCATAATGCATCTTGTCTCAACTTCCTGTGAACCTTAATGACTATAAGCTGAAAGCACAAGTGATATAGAAGAACACATCTTTATAGCAGGAATGTCAAACTAATTTTATACAGCCCACTTTCAGTCAATGTAAAGAAGTATACCTATACAGTTTGGACAGTTCTTATACATGATAAAGAAATACTGCTGTAGCAACAAGGAAATCTGTTAGCATGATTCTTTGGGCTTAAACTGTAAAAAATAAATGTGTTTTTAAAAAGAAGTTCTGGTAGCTCATTGCTCAGACTGCCCTGTAATTATTAAAGTTTTTGTTAATTCACAAAAAAAATGTGTGTGACTCAGAAAACCCCCCCATAAACATTTCTATAGTAGATCGAAAAATACTGCTGGCTTCCAGTGTGACCCCTCAGGCTCCTAGTAGATGCAGACATGTTATCAATTTGAAAATCAAAGGTGACTTTTTTACTGAGTTATCATATTCACAAGGTTTTCAGAAAACTTTACCAGTGGCCTTGACCTTGAGCTCAAGATCACCAGGATTCAAATTTGCCGAAGACTTTTAGTAGATGCACCTATGGTATGAATGTGAAAATCCTAGGTGACTTCCTTCTTGAGTTATGGCATTCAGAAATTTTTCAGAAAACCTGATCTCTGACTTTCACTGGGAGTCAAACTTGTCCGCAAGCTTTATTAGATGCGCCTATGGTATGAATTTCTACATCACCTTGTTCTCAAGTTATCGCATTCACAAATTTTGGCATCCACTTCACCCACCTGGCTGACAACAATACCCTGTCAGGCTTGTTACAGCTGATGGGTAAGAATTGTTATTTAATTGTTTTTCTGTTACTTAATTACTTTGGTGTAGTATGAATGGTGATTATGGGGTAGGTCTTTATTAGTAGAAAAAGCTGTAAAAGTTGTGAAAATACAGTTAAAAGTCTAAAATGTATATCTATATATACTCTCTTTTTTCAAAGAGAATATCAGCAGAATTCCGGCTGATTTGTTGGCCCAATTCTGGCCCCTGGACCTTATGTTTGACATCACTAATCTATTGCGTAAATCAGAATTACTATAAGTACTTTATATGGGGTCTTAGTGTGTTTTACTTGTTATGTTTTGTTTTTTAGCTTTACTGTTTAATTTAACAATTTTTCAAATTCAGTGAGAGGTCCTTATTCTAAAAATATGTCTACGTCCTAGAACGTTTTTCCCATTATTTAAATATCCCCATAGTCATTAATAGATGTGAATAATTTGCGAAAGCTCTTTCTCTAACTTTATATAAAGGTTAATGTAATCATGTATCAAGGTGGTGTCCGAATACATGCTATAAACTACAACTCCAATCCTGCTTTACGCAGTTTTGATGACGTTGCACGGGCATTTCCCATAGTAACCTTTCCTGTCTGCTTGCTGGTGCGTTTGCGCCTCCTGTCTTGAAAGCGAGGTGAAGAATAGTTTACTTTCCAGAGTTCAAGGTTTGGTGTCGGTGTTCGTTTGGAGTAAAGGCTTTTGCCGAGGCGTTAAGCCCCCTTTCTCAGAGCCAACATGCTGAACATGTGGAAAGTTAGGGAGTTGGTTGACAAAGCGTGAGTATCTTCTTATCACAGTACGGCTGTAACGAGTTATTTGTGCTTGTAGTTTACCTGTTTGAAAGAGACACGTACCCAAAACTTTGACGTCACGTCATTCTTTACAAGTTAGCTAGCCTGTATGCTACTAGCGAATTAGTTAACTGACTTTTACAAACACCATACTTCTTGTTTTAAGTGTGGGTGTCTTGTTTTTCTTACAGTTCTTCTTGCCTTGTCGTTCAGCTAAACTGTAACTAAAATGATATGGTGTGACTGCGCTTGTCATTTGTTCGTTTTCTCCGAAAGCGCATGCTAACCTGCTTGGCTAACAAGCTAATTATGTAGCCTGTTGACTGGGTGGGTAGCTAGCTGACCAGGCTAGCCAGCTAAGCTAGTTTGACAGCTCCCAGGCTGAATAATTAAACAATGGGTGTTTTTGGAGTTATGTGAAACAGACTTGTCGTCCAACCCCTGTTTAGCTGCTACTGCCTGGAAATACATTTTAATTAATTAATTTAAGGTAGAAGTGCTTTACGATCGTCTTGACACTTGTAGCTAAGTTACACACGACGTTGTGGTAGTTGCACGAGAGCCCTTGAGTTGTAAGTTAAATTGTTCGTCGTTAAATTGTTCGTCGTTAAGTTACAATACAACAATTGTCTAGATTGTTGTAGATTTTCCACCAGCGTCACGCTAGCATACACATAAATACATAAATTAACACATCGTGTTAGTTTTAAAATAAAAACACACCCTTAAAAAACAACTACCTTTACACTTTTGGCTTACAATCATGTTGGTGGCAACTAGTTCCCAGTAAACGTAAGTGTGTGTTAAGAAGTTTGACCACAACTTACGACAGTTGTTATTTGAGTTGGCTTTACTGTTATTGAGGGTGCTTTATGTTTTTATTTATTTTTCTACTTAAAAGAGCCACTACAGAGTATTTATTAATGAGTGACCAGTCATCTGCTGGGGTTTGTAACTTGTTGGTGGATGTTAAGCTTTCTCCCTCTCTCTCTCCCTCTCTCTCTTTTGTTTGCTTCCGGTGCATTTTTGCATAGTTTGATGGGAGTGTTGGTCAAAGCTTCCATGGCAGTAATTTATTACCTAGCTTTATCAAAGAGCAAGCCAACACCTTTGTTCAGCACATTTGTTCTCCTTTGGCTGCTGGTTTATTTTCAGCTGATGTCTGTACTCTGAAGCTTTTGTAGGCTATTGCACGATTTTCTTAAAAATGTATTTTTATTTTTTGTTCTTTCAAGGGCTTAGTGGCTTATTGTGCACAGTCAGACAATAGTGTGTTAAGTCTATCCAAGAATGCAATCCTGTGGATGCACTTGACTCCCCTCTGTGTGTGACCTTTTGCAGCATGTTTTGCTTTTGTTGGAGCGAGTCAGACAAAGAAGGCAATATTTACTTTACAAAATTTAGCTCAGTAATTCCACATTTGAAAGAACTTAAGTCTCAATTGAGATAAAGGAGACGAGATATAGATGTATAAAGATGCCGCAACTTGTAAAAACAGTGGTCATGACGTGCCAGACATTCATTCATCTACACACCCACCCACCCAGAAGCATGTAAATTATTTACTAAACTTAATGTTATATAGATCACACTATCCTGCAGTATTGTATAAATACTGTATATTGTTGCATATATTTATTTTCTGATGCATCTACACCATTTTTATTTTAACTTATAATATAAAGCAATTTGAATTGACAGACTAAAAGAGAGATTATTTTTATGCCTGAATGAGTGTGCCTTCATTCTAATCTGGCTTTATTTGAAATACTGGGTGGTGTAAGAGCTCGTGTCTTGAGACCTTTGAAATTGGGAACTTGTTGACTTGTTTTCATAAAGTGTCAATAAATGCTGAGTCATTAAGACTGATTGTTGCATTCTTCCTCTGATTAATCAGAGGGTTTTATGTGCATTTTTTTTTTGTTAAATATAATGAGTAAAATGCTGATTTGTTTTTCTTATTTTTTTTAAACTTTTGTAATGAGTAAAGTTAACACTAATATAAGAACTAAAGTGCAGTTGCAATGAAGAGCAAGGGAAATGCTTCAGCAGTATAGCAGCGGAAATATGTGTGATTGTGTGTCACTGAGAGTATCACAGCTTCCGTTTTATCTAGCTGATATCTAGAACAGCAGCAACCTCTGTGTGAAGATAAGCAGTTGCATCAGTGCCTTTTATTTTTTGTCTGTCATTCATGCATGGCAGGTTAGCATTTTCCCTAACTAGCTAGAGAAATTCTGGATATATAAAGTTATAACTACACATGGAGTAACCAGAATCCTTTGAAAACTCTTGGATATAGAATGTTTGAATGTCTGTCTGGGACTTCTCAGCAAATGTTGACTGTGATCCATGGTTGGGCCCAGAGGCTTATTTTAATTAGCTGTGAAAGGACTCTGGCGTGGTAATTTTCAAATACTTTTCATGGCTTAAGCCACATTTTACAAAAGAGAGTATGTTGTCAGAGTTGTAACCATACCCTGCAACTTTTAGCAATGCAGTCTGCCTGAAAACCACAGAGAGGGTGTATCCTTGTTAACAATATGGCATCAAATCAGTGTTGCTCTGTCAGGCGCTGTGCTGTTTATTGCTGATGTGGCAGTAGTGAAGGAGGAGGTTGTAGAAATTTCAAATTGCTTATTTGCCTTGCCACATTTTATTGCTAAAGTTGCAGCAGGGCCTGCTTACTTATTTTAAAGATGATGCCTGTATGATTATTGATCATAGTTCTGCGGTTCTGTAACAAACAAGTTTATGTAAGTTAATACTCTAAATCTGAATAAGGTCTCAGGTTGTGGTTCAGTTTTACGTTGCATATACAATTTGGGATAGTGGCTATACTGCTTCCCTTAATGCAAACACTGCAGGAATTGTCTGGATAACCAGTTTATCCAGTTATGACTGAATAGATGCCAAATGACATGTTAAATTAAATCCCCTTACACAAACGGCGATTAGTCAAATAAAGATGCAAAATCTCAATTAAAAAACACAAGGATACCATTGTCAAATAATGCACAGCAGGTGATGTAAATAGAAATTACAGAAGCAGAAATGAACTTTATAAAAGGTAAAGAAGAACTTTATAAAGTCCTTTGCTTTTTTCAAGATTTTGGTGGAACCCTTATACACACTGAAGCTAAGATGTGATATTTTTTTCTTTCCCTTACAGAATGCTGGCTATATTTTTAAGTAGAAACAAGATTTGTAGACTCTAATCCTGGATAAATATAAGGCAGAGTTTGATTAGCCTTTGTTAGTTCTGTACTGATTGTGATTGCGTTTTTTTACTTCTTTAGTCTTTTATAATATATGAAGTCCTATATATTTGGAACACAGATTTTAGCCTGAAATGCTTAGAGAGATTCATTGTTTTGATTTCTTCCCATTTGAGTCTCTGATTCCTGTTGTACTAGTTTCTAACTAGAGATCAAAATCAGTCAGCAACTCTTGTTTTATTCATCGCCATTTTAGCTTGCATGTATGTGTTTACACTGAACGCATTGTGCATTTGCCTGTGTGGTCAGCTGTTTTAGGTTTTGACAAGGAGTTATGAAAACATGTGATCCTTTTGTTCTTTTAGCCTTTAAAAGGGCACTTGTGGTTGGCTTAAGCATCTTTAAGTCTCTGATTTTATATGATTTTTGTACTGTCATTCATGTTGGTCTTGCTGGGCTGAGGTGCAGGTGCATACTTTGAGCAGAAATGACAAATAAAATGTATTATCATTGAAGTTTGTTTTTGTTTGTTATTATAGAACCAATGTGGTGATGAACTACTCCGAGGTGGAGTCTAAGGTGAGAGAAGCTACCAATGATGACCCCTGGGGACCATCAGGACAGCTGATGAGTGAAATTTCTAGGTAAGGTTTGTTGTTTATTTCATTTATGTTTTACTGAAAAGCACCCACTGTAAATAAAAAGAAAACCTTACATCCCTTTATCTGCATTTCCATGAACATTATTTTTAAAGATCAGGCTTCTATGACAAATCCAGCTCCTACTGGATTTTAAGCCTCCTCGCTCATCAAAACAGGAAACAGGGCTTCTTTGAAAGTCAGCAGAACGTTTCTGAATAAACAACCATAAACAATTATAGTTTAAAAGTTAAGCTGTAAATTACCTGCATCTGAATGTCTAAGAACTCCCGTGAACTACCTCTGATGTGTCTTACGTGACTTTCTTTAAGTGCAGAAAGCTTTGTCAAAAACGTATGAGCCCCGAAGTTATGAGTGACACAGAAGTTTCTAATGACTCATTTAGAAGCTGTTTTTACAAAAAATGGTTTTTGATGTTCAAGCGTCCCGTTTGACCTCAAGTCTTTTCCTGCACAGAACTGCAAACAATGAGAATATTAAACCCCCAAGTGTTCATTTTTGATTATTTATCATATTCAAAGTGGACATCAGTGTTTGAGTTCATCTGGCTTTTACTGTTCATGCTTTCTTCTTATGCAACTATGCATACACAGATATGCTTAATTGCAGATATGCTTTTTTTTTTTTTAAACATGAAAGTAAAAAGTCTAATTCCCCCCCCCACCCCTCCGTTTTTTGTTTGTTTTTTTTATAAACAGAGCCACCTTCATGTATGAACAGTTCCCAGAGGTGATGAACATGCTGTGGGCCCGCATGCTGCGGGACAACAAAAAGAACTGGAGGAGAGTCTACAAGGTCTGCCTCAGTGCTGTTGTAACATGACACAAACGCATGTTCTTGCATTAATTGTGAAACAAGGCTTGAAGACCTAAGTGCTGAGAACATTTTTCATTATGTGGAACACTTTGGACTTGCTAAACTAAAATTAATAGATTTGATTTAACTTTAAAGGCCTTTCTCCTTACTTTTAGCAATAATCGGGTATCAGCAAGAACTTTAAGATTGGGTTAAGCTTTTTTACAAATAACCTACTGATGGATTTCACTCAGCAAGAGATGTGAAGACAAACCACATTGTTTGAAACACTGTAATTGAGAGTAAACGAAAGTCTGACACAAGAATCACAACTTGAACAAACTGGGTTAACTCCAAACTTGAAGTTAAAAATAAAATCTTAAATCTTTTTTTTAAATTTCCCATTTTGTTTTTTTCTTCCCCCCCTCCCTTCAGTCTCTATTATTGCTAGCCCATCTCATCAGGAACGGGTCTGAAAGGGTTGTGACTAGTGCCAGAGAACATCTGTATGACTTGAGATCACTAGAAAGCTACCATTTTGTAGGTAAGGTATCATTCTGGTCTTTTTTTTTTCTTTTTTTTAAATTTAGATCTTAGATGGCTAGACATTTTGTTTGCTGAATGTTGTTGTAATGAGGTGAAAAGTTCTGTATCAACAACAGCTTTAATGTGGGCTGCAATGAGAGGAAGGAGGCCCTAAGCAGTGCTTAGTCCAGAAACTCTTAGCATACTACTGTAAAGCTGCTTTCAGTGGCCCAAACCATGTGTGTATTTTAGACTTTGTTTAGAAGGACACAATAATTATTATTCTTTGTCTGTGTCTGGATTTTGTGTATTACTGTTGTAATTTAATCAGTTTTGTTATTCTTTCTCCTTAAATTGCTACCCTTAGATGAGAATGGGAAGGACCAAGGTGTGAATGTACGTCAGAAGGTGAAGGAGATGGTGGAGTTTGTTCAGGATGATGACAGGCTTAGGGAAGAACGGAAAAAGGCAAAGAAGAATAAAGACAAATACATTGGTGTATCCTCTGACAGCATGGGACACAGAGGCTACTGTAAGTCCACAGATGTGCACATTTTGTAAATAGAGGTGTTGGGAAAAGAGCAGCTGGAACTGATGTGATTACTTTTTGGTGCGGAAGTATAACCTGATATCCTATGATGTCCAACTCATGTTTGCTTCTCTTTTTCCACTAATAGCGGGGGACAGGTATGACTCTGGTGATAGAAAGTGGGATGATGACTGGGAGAAAAAAGGGCCATTCCCCTTCAGTGATAAGCTGGGGGAAATCAGTGACAAAATTGGCACCACCATTGATGACACCATAAACAAGTTTAGAAAGAAGGACCGAGACGACTCGCCAGATCGATTCAGGTAGGATGCAGCCTCCGATCTGATGCAAGGAAACTAAACACAAAAGGAAAGTTTCTTGTTGCTATTTAGGACAAAGACATTTGAAGATGTGATCACAGAGCTTTGTGTGTTTCTTGATGGGTTTCTTGAATGTGTACAATGATTGTGTCTGGTCACCTTACCTCTCATGTTGTTTTTGTCCCTAGTGACAACGAGGAGGACAGGGGTCGATCATCTCACAATGGCCAGCAAAGAAAGGAGTTCAAAGATGAAGAGGAGACTGTTACCACAAGAAGTCTACAGATTGTCCAAGCAACAGAGACGACAGCAACACGGAAGAGAGGAGGGCTGCCATCCAAGAAAGTAGATCTTGGGGCCGCAGCCCATTACACAGGAGACAAGAGCCCAGATACCACCGCCAAACAGGTAGCAATAGCGCTCTTCAACAAATGAAATGAGAGAAGATTTTATTGATATGAGGCTGGTTATGTTTACTCTGAGTCTTGATGTTACGTCCCCACTTAAAAGCTAGGCGATGAGGGTGGGGGACAGTAACAGTTAGATCCAGGTGGAATGAAAAGAACGCCAGGCAGAGGTACTTAATATAAAATAGATCTTTATTTTAGGCAAACACCTCAATAATCATATAAATGGCCACAACAAAAGGAGACAGCACCGCTGCTTTAATGAGAAATCAGGGAGGTCAACCCAAAGTGGTAATGACCACTTCAACAAAGAAAGCAATAATAAGGCTTCAACAGAAAGAGACAGCAACGCTGCTAGCAAACAATATCCAGGCAGGCCACACAAACTAATGAAGGCCGCCGTCACTCATGGGCAATCACTGCTCAGTTAAACACTACTCACAAAGAGCCACACGCAGCAGGCTGTTCCACACCTAAGCCAGTAGCACACTCTGACCAGCACAGAGGAAATCCACCAGAAACCTCTCCAGTCCTCTTCCACACTGCTCTTCTCCAGCTTATATCACCCCTGAGGGTAATTGGTTGTAACGAGAGCAGATGAGCAGCAGGTGTGACCTAAGGAGAAGGCAGGGGCAGAGAGAGACAAGGGGAGGGGCCAGAACAAAGGAGGAGGAGGAGGAGGAGGAGGAGAAGAAAACACCACGCCCACACAAGGGCAGTATGGGGAGGCCCAGCTAGGGCCGTAACACTTGAGTTTTTAGCTTTCTTATTTTATTTTTTGGTTGTTTTAATTCCAGATGCAGCCAGCCGCAGCCCCTCAGCCAACCAATGCTGCCCTTGCTGATCTACTGATGGTGGACACAACACCTAGTCAGCCTGCTGCCACAGGTATAATGTCACTAAGTTTGAGAAACCTTTTGTGAAGCACACTTATAACCCTTCTTATGAGAAGATTGATGAGACTATTATCAGTAAAAAAAAAAAAAAAATTTCCAGTAGACAAATTGGACAGGATCCTTAAAGAAACTGATGGTCTCTGCCCAAAATGAAAAATACCTTCCAGTCACTGCAATTGTGACATACCAGTAAATCCAGGACTAACCGTTTTAGTTCAGCGTTACAGTACCACAAAGAAAAAAACTCCAGAGTAGCTGCACGAACACACTAGACTCTACTGAAAGTGTGGTGCCCAGCTGCTGATAGCAGCTTCCCATTTTTTGGGGACAGCAGGAGGAGGGAGTTGATGTATAGGAACTAAGTGCACCAGATGTTTTTGGAGGAGTCCCTAGGGAATGGAGAGGGCAGAAGCACTGAACAGATGTTTGGTCCCCTCCACCTATTCACTGCTTCCCCCTCCCCTCCCTCCTACACTTCTGACACTAAGGGAATGCTAACTATGGTGGAATGACACCTGGAGCTCACTTGTTTTAAATTTATTTCTGTTTCTCAATGCAGGCCTGATCGGTGGATTTGCCGACTTCTCCTCACCTGCTGCCTCTGCTGGACTGTCCTCGGGTTGGTTTTAAAAGTTTTTGGAGTGTGTGTGTGTGTGTTGTTGGTGTGTGTGTGTGTGTGTTGTTGGTGTGTGTGTGTGTTGTTGGTGTGTGTGTGTGTGTGTGTGTGTGTTGTTGGTGTGTGTGTGCATGTCTATGCTGTCCTGTTGCAACCATACCACTAGAATATTCAGAGGGATTCTGGGAGGGAGCCCTGGCCATATGGAGCCTGCTACCTGCTCTGCATAATAAGAACAGACACACATCAACTCCTGTTATGGATGACAAGGAGATGGGGACAGAGGAAGAAGTTGGTGGGGGTGGAGAAGGATGAGAGAGACTGAGAGAGGGAGAGAGACATTAGGCCAGGCCAGTTCAATAAAAATTTAAAAAGAGCCATCAGTGGTCACTGAGAATGTCCTCAAAAACATAACCTCTTAGTTAAGATTTAGCTTTCTATTGTTTACTGTCAGGCTCAGATTTGTGATTTTGCTGAATCATATATTTGCACGGCTCACAGTACAAATATCACTGTTTCGATGGCAAATAAAGACACTCATGCAGCTGTCTGTTTTTTGTTTTTGTTGTTTTTCTGCCTTTCTCGTTGCAGCAGCACAACCCTCTAACCCCAATGGAGACTTTGGAGAATGGAATGCTTTTCCTGGAGGTCAGATGCCAGCATCTGCTCAGACTGGCAACATGAGTGGAAATGACCTTTTTGCACCCATGAATGCAGGTCCTTCTGTTGCCACCCCAACTGCTGCCCCAGCCCCAGCTTCAGGCTCTGGTCTTGCCTCAGCAAACCTGTTTGACTTGATGGGGCCAACACAGTCTCTCACCTCCTCTCAGAGCCTCAGCTTTAGCATGAGCAACACACAGAGTATGAGCACCACGGTCCTACCCCAGTCTAAGTCACAGGTATGCATGATTGCACTCATTCATACACACATCCTTGTTAAATTATTGATTGTTCTACATATCATTACAAGACTCCTATCGGGTGTAAATAGAATACAGGTGGAATCAAAATCTCTTGGGTCACAGACTCTTAGGCTTCATGGATACAGAGCTAGAGAATGGATTAGTGTGTGGTATATAAAGCATAGCATGAGATATGAGACATTGCTAGCTCCAATAGTAAGTTCGAGTGATTAGATCTGGATTTTCCTCAGCAATATTTTTAGATCTTGTCAATGCCGAATCTGAATTAAGCATGTTTTTGTGAATTCAAAATGTGTACCTTTTATCGTACCACATGCTTGTTTGCTCTTGGCCTAGAAATTCAAATGCTGTGCAAAATTTCTTTCACATGCTGTTTATAATAGATTAATTCCAGATGTGACAAGCTAGATAACTATTATCACTAAGGGTCAAATACTTCCATTTATCCTCTTACTCCCACTTTTTAACATTGCACCTTGACCTCCTTGTGTGATGGAGACATACTTCATGTGATTGAAAGACAAAGGACAAGCGGGATGGTGGAGAGTTAATGTGCAGCCACTCCAGATGCTCATCTTCCCCTGAGACTTTCCATAACCACCCACTCCTCATTTTACTGACACCGAATGAGAAAAATGAGATTTGAGTCACAAAAACATTAAAAGTCCAAGGAAAGTTCACATATGTTGACTGTATCTTCATGTAAAAAGGGTGTTGACCTACTTTAAAGGGGGGAAAACATTCACCTCTTCCATTTCCTCTATTTATTTTAAATGATATGTTTTTATTGAGTTAAGAAAGAGACTCGGGTAGATTTCCCTCTGTCGAGGTTAAGTGGGTCATGCTAAAGGTTTAGATGCTTGAATAATGAAGTAAAAACTGCATCTCTTAATTTTTTTTATGAATTTGGCACAAATGAGCTCTTTTTCTAACATTTTGCCTGCTTGTTTATCTGTGCTAGCCCCTCCAGACAATGGGGGGTCCTCTTCAACCACAGCCCATGCAGTCTCTCCAGCCTGTTCAGCAGGGAGTGTCATCTCAAGGTGCAGGAGCCAAAGCATCCCTTCCATCCACCTGGTCAGATCACTCTGTTAACATCAGCCTGGACTTCCTAGGCCCTGGAATGCAGCCCCCCAAACCAGCCCAGCCCAGTCTCAACACTCTCCAACAAGGTGAGAGGATTAGTACTTCAGATCTGACATGAATGGCAACAACCTCACAGTCCAGGTTCTGGCTTAAGTCTTTTTAAAATTTGAATTTCTCTTTTGTTATTTCCAGGCAACCAGGCACCCGGCAACATGCTCTCCCAGGGATTTTCCAATATGAGTCTGGGACCTACAGCTGCCCGACCTCCTGTTAATCCCATGATGCACCCTGGTGCTGGCATGGGGATGGGGATGGGAATGGGCATGGCCCCCAATCAGGGCATGATGGGAATGGGGATGAACATGGGGATGCATCAAGGTGGGATGAACATGGGGATGCATCAAGGTGGGATGAACATGGGGATGCCACAGGGAGGTATGACCATGGGGATGCCTGGTGGGATGGGGATGAACCCTGCGATGGCCCAGCAGCCCAAACAAGATGCTTTTGCTGACTTTGGAAATTTTGGAAAGTGATGGAACTGGAGAGCAAAGATTATAAGAGGAGCAGTGGCAGTCTCCCTCTCCGTCCACTGGTGAAGGATTGTTAAGAGCTGCAAACAAAGAGTACTTGAATGTCAATAATGTCAACTATCATAATACCAACACCCTGCAATCTCTTTTTTTATAGTAATATGATTTGGATCTAAATGAATGAGTGTGTGCGTGCGTTTGAACGAATGATCTGTCAGGTCTGGGTTCATGGTCAGGCACTCTGATGATGGTGTGCCTTGTAGGTTAGTTGTATATCAGTGAGCAGGAAGAAGAAAGTGCCACTGAGAGAATGTCAGGGGGATTTGCTTTATAACCTCAATCAAATGAAATCACCAGAATTGCAAAAAAACACGACTAGCTGCGTTTGTTTTCCTTTTTTCCTTTTGCTATATAATGTCGATAACTTGATGAATCATGAATTTCGATAGCTTGATCTGCCATTTTTAACTTCCTAACAAACATTGAAGGATGTCAGGTTACCTCTTTCTTTTTTCTTTAATGTCATCGTTCTTCCTTCAACGTGTAAATAGAAATCTGAAGCCCTAACAATAAGTTATGAAGCTCATATATGAGAGGCAGTGACAATGTGAAGAATTGTATCATGTAGACCAAATCTGATATGAATTAAGAACTATAACAAAGCACATTGACACCTTCTCTTTGTACATAAGTATCCAGACTTCAAATGTGCCTGCAGCTGGAGTAATTAATTATTTGCAGTGAACGCTATCAATTGAATTTGAGGAGTTGCACCTGCAAGACCATGAATTTGCCTTTCTTATTGGTATATAGCTATATTTTTCTTCTGATAATTATAATCAGTTAGCATCCAAATGAGATAATCAGTAGGTAGAAAAGCCTTATACAGGAGTAGAGTGCCTGAAAGACCTTTGCCTTTTCTCTTCAGTCAACCTCTTTGAAGGCGACAATGTGACTGCAGTGTTGAAAATAGCTGCGAGGATGGAGTTTTTGTGCTTGGTACAAATATGCCTGTGCCTCAAGCCAAGTGTACTGTCTGTACAGATGGCGGATGCAGTTGTTTCACTAGTTCTCTTTGTTCATCTGATTCAACTTTTTTTTTTCTTGTTTGTTTGTGTTTGTTTTCAATCTATTAAGGCCAGTGAGAACTTCAGAGCTACAAGACACCAAGATAAATTCATTCAAACCTCAAGTGTTGATTCAGACTGTTAAGATTGTAAAATGCAGCTGTCTGTTAGATGTTCATCAGTGCATTTTGGTACACGACACCTTCCATGTTGATTAATGTTGCACATTAAAGCAGGAGTCCTGAAAAGATTTTCTGTCATAGCCACCATCAGTCCGAGTCTGTGTGTTTAGTGACTTATCAGGTACAGATAATTGTGTGAGAGGAAGCACTAACCTGCCATGTTTCAGATCAGCATGTTGGTTGGATTGCATTTGTGTCATCGGGTAGCACATCATGAACAGTCCCATCCAGCTGTATGCCACTTTCGTTATGCTATAGATGTACACAACATTGCACTTCAGTGGTTCAAGTGCCTGCCGGTGGTTGCCTCCTGATCCTTGTGATGAGTGATAGATAATCAAAATTGAATCTTGACTGCCTGACATTTTTGGTGTGTCGACGCTGAGATAAATAATTCACTGACCAGAGGAGAAGGCGGTGGATTCTGCAGCCTCAGGAGGATTTAAGTTGTGTTTTTCTACTCTCAACCCTCCTCTCAAGGGCTCATAAGGCTGAGCACACTAACACATAGTAGCCTTGCATCGGTGTCTGAAGCATTAAAATGACCAAAATCTGTTTGCTGTTTTTTGTTTTTTTGTTTTTTTTTTCCTATTATATACATATATATATATCCGTAGAGGTTTGTTTTACGCATTTTCTTTTCTACTTTAAATCCTCTTGGTCCTCTCAAAAATGGGATTGTTGAAACACTAGTATATGCAAATGTAAGATCATGGAAATCCTTCTAGAAAATGAAATTTTGCATTATTCCCATTTTGATTTGATTTACACATCAAGATTCTTTATCTACAACATTAAACAGTTGATTGAAATTTGCTAATGGTGTGTGTTATTTGGTGTGTTGTGTCATTAGCCTCATTCAAAACTGCTTCAAGCAGCAAAAGTGAAGCATCTGCACTTGGCTTGGAAATTACATTTACTTGATGGGAGTTTAATTTGTGCCAGTAACGAGACGGTGTTCAAAAGGCCGTCTGTAAATCAAAGAGAAAAGTTACGCGCTGCCAGATGTATTATAGCTCAGGTAGATCCCCCCCCCCAGCATTTTCTTTTTGCCGGCCAGTCACAAGGACTCCTGTACCACTTCAAATCTTTATTATGGATCTCTTATAACACTGAAATAATGTTAAAAAGGTCTTTCAAAGTTACCTGACCATTTTCAGAGGAATGTTATTTTTGCCTCTTGTGGTCAACAAGCAACTTCACAAATAATCAGTATAAAATTAATTTTTTAAACACAGTTTGAGAATTTATTTTTTGCACCAACAAGGTGATTTTCACAGATCTATAGGTGAAAACCTGACATATCGCAGCATAGTGTGTCCTTAAAAATTTTAAAATGAGAAAACTGCTCAAGTGGAGGACAAAAGGAGTGGAACTAAACTATAGATTAACAGTATCTGAAAGTCATGTCCTTAAAAACTAAAGAAGTCTGAACTCTTATGCAAGCAGTCCTCTGAAGCGTAGAAGTGGTCATACCAAATATTTACCTTAACGCTTGTTATAATTGTGCAAACTCTGATTTGCCTTGCATATTGTAACCCTGTATGTTTGCACGTTTGAATAAACCTGTTTCCAGGTTTCTTAGCAATATATAAAGAAATGAGGTGACTCAAGACTTTTGCACAGGACTGTATTTCAATTGTTAATCCAAACTTAACAGTTATAACTCTAGCTCTAATTTTAGCCAGTGAGTTTATCACTTTTTGATCATTCAGCTTGTCCATTATTGCTGATTAAGTAACTTTTCTTGTGAAACCAGTTGTGGTCCACGTAGGTCTTTAATTAACTGTACTTCTGTGTTTTCTGATAAGTTGAGCTAATTCCAATTTACCCGCCGGGTCCTGCAAAGGTAGCCCAGGCTGAAAAAACACTGATTATAGAACACAAGAGAATAAATCAAGAAAGCAACGAGCCAGCTGCAGCTCCTGAGCTCAACACATGCTTTGAACCTTTTGCACTTTCAGACTATCGGGACTTAAGGAATGCAACAAAATCCTTTTGGTGTTACAGTTAGGGAAGCGCTGGATTCTTTTATTTGTCAAATTTATAGTCTCTCCCAGTGCAAGTGATGGCCTCATTACTCTGGTATAACACACACAAGAGACAGATGTTGCAGTTGTTGCCACAATTAGACCACACAATCAGTACTGTGCTCTGCTCACACTGCATCAGGGATTGTTGGAACACACTTTTGTGACAAACACAGCTTGCATTAAACAATTGACCCCATTTTTTCCCTCTCTGGAGAGGCCTTTTAAATGGGCTACACTAATAATATTCTGATACATTATATGAAAAGTAACGTTATATACAGTAAATGAATAAAAGCTCACCTTACTCATAGAACATGCCCCACTTATGACATAAAATATATGGAAAGAGGGTCAGTCTCTAAACAAATTAAGAGACGCTGAAATGCAGAAAGAAATCTGACGCAGACCCAGAAACATTGCAGCGACGGTCGTTCTGTGCCACTCATCATCCAAAACTAACCTCTGTCATTTAAAAAGGAAAAAAAAAAATGCAACATCTTTACAACTTCTAAGAGATGCAGTAAATCGTGCTTTTATGGGTAATGTGCCCATTAAAGAGTAAAAGCAATCTAAGACGTCAAGACAAATGACAGCTTTTGAGTGCCATCTGCAATCTCGAGCTTCACAAACTCAATTATTCATAATGCATTTATGAAGTCCGCTGAGACTGCGCTGTCATTCCCATTCAAACTAGTGGGGAAATGCAACATAAAGGGACAAGCTCTTTGAGATGACAATGGCCTGTTCGATGGCTCTGGTGTGTTTATGGTGCCACCTGCTGGGAGACAGCCATTTCACTGGGTTTCCTTTACAGGGTGTCAAATAAACTAAACAGGCAAAAACAAAACACACACAAACACACTTTTCTGTAATTACAACTGGAAAGCTTTTATTTATCAAAAGCAAAATCATTTCTCTGGTGGGCAAAGACAAACCTCCATATCAATATGATATAAATCATCAGTCTGTGATCCATCTGAATCTCTAGAATTTGTCAGTACTAGTTAGCGCAGATGCTCCAAAAAACCCTGCATTTTTGCCCGGGATCAATGTAAGAGTGAAAATCAGAGCGGCTGGGGGTTAACCAGGATGACATTCTCGCCACGGATGAACAGCTGGTTGATGTGGCGCGTATGGATCTTGCCGTACGTCTTGGTTTCTTTCTTCTGGCGAGCCTGTGGACTTTGGACCACAAGCAGTGTTTTGTGTGCATCCTTTTTGGTTTCAGCAGCTCCTGACAGCTCTGAGTCTGCTGTCCTGCTGTCTCCTCTCACACCAACGGCATGAGAAGAAGAACGACTTTCTGGAGTCTCTTTGGGAGAATCTGCAGGCTGCTTCTTCACCGACTCAGCACATTCAGAGGTTTCCTGGAGACTTAGCTTCTCAAAAAGCTGCAGATACAAAGATTTGATCATTCTTAAGATTTTCATCCAACTGAACCACATAAAAGCGCTCCGTGTGCTCTATATGTATATGTAAAAAGACCTTTACAATTTAAGCCAGCAATACTACTGTCAGCTCGCTTGCAAGCATTTAATCAGCAAAGCACAGATAGCTGTTATTATGAAGTAGTCATTAGAAACTTCTAAATGTTTCTAGCTTTCCTTAGAAAATTGAAGGACAAAATTTTACTCGTGTGTGTGTGTGTGTATATATATATATATATATATATATATATATATGATGAAAACTCATCCATTACCCGTGTAGTGGTGAGGGCTTTCTCATGATAGAAAGCCTCTCCAAACAGAGGCTCTCTGTACGTTTCATCCACATCCACCATCGCCTGACAGCGAGAGATAACCAACGATTAAGATACGAAATTTGCGTAGTTCAAGAATGCCACATGAGATCACTGACCATGTTCCAGAACTTGTCGAAGGCCACGACAAAGCCAGAGCACACTCCCCTCAGACCTTTGAAAGTCCTGACGTGAACTTTGACTCTTATCCTCTCCTCCACGCAGCGGTACAGCTCCCCCAGAGGACTGCCTTTACACACTGAAAACACAAGACAAGCAGGTCGCACAGCTGCCTCTGCCTATTATGATAAATGATACAGGGAATTCAGCTAAAACTGATGCTTCTTTAAAGTAACAAGTAATGCTAAAATTATCAATAAAATATTTAGTATATATATAAATATATAATATATATATATAATATATATATATATATATAATAATTATATGTGTGGATGTGTGTGTGTGTGTGTGTAATGTTGTTTTCATTTTATTGGGGGCAAAGGGGTTCAGGGTATACGTAAACCACAACTAGGAACCTGCCAACCAAGCCATTCTGCGTCTTTTATTACTCCAGTAGTCCTATTTTACTGGGACATTTTATTTTATTTTTTATTTTATTTGTCGGTTTATTTGGGGTAGTCTGTCGGTTCTTAGTGTATTCTAATAAATACAAATATCGTATTCTAGTCCCTCCTAAAGTTTAAAGCGGCTCAGTGAAACTGCCCAGGCGGGACTAGGTCTCCAACACATTACATGATGAGTGTTGAACCTACGGGGCATTCTCGTCAGGACATTTTTCACAGGTTTCTGCCTCCTCTTCCTCCGCGTCGTGCCGCTGCTGCTTTCTCCCTCCTCTGACTCAGATACCGGGTTGTTCACCATGAGTTTCTTCAGCCTCTCGATGCGCTCCAGGTCAACCACGCCTTTCATCGCCTTACGTTGCCTTTTCTCCACGTTCTCCGGTTTAGCTCTCCCGCGGCCGCCCTTCAGAAAGCTCTCGTACTCGGCCACGTTGTTGAAGCACTTGATGTTTGGGATGGGAAGCTGCACTGTCGGTGAGTACAAGGCCAAGAGTGGATCAAATTTATCCGAGCAGACGTCCAGTTTATCTGCGCCATCGTCCTCGGCTTTACTGCCAGCCTCCGGCGCTGAGGCCGGGCTGGAGCAGGGTGCTGACAACGTCTCCTTACTGTCTGAATTTACACTTCTTTTTTCCCTCTCCTCCATGTTCAAAACAACCGAGGAATTCTGGGTATTTTGTCGTGTTTATCAACTGGACTACAAGTCCCATAGCCTCCTAGATGTACAGTATCTAGTTTAGTTTCTATTTAGGCACAAGATGGCGCTAGAAAGCAAATTACTTTCGTAAAATCTTTAAAACTTAAAAAAAAATTCCGCAAAGCATCCAAAAAAAATTGAAAATTGAAGCATTATTTTTAAGGTGGCTGAAGAAACGGGAAATTATTTGCGTTTTATTTTAAGTCTACCGTAGCTCCGAAAATTTGTGTTCCGGGTGATTGTAGTTCCGCTACGACACAATTTCTGGGCGGACCGTATACAAACCAACGTGTTTGAATGTGCGGAAGAGAATTATTCTTATTATTTAGATATATTTAGTTTATATATTCTCTAAATAGAGAACTGACATACGTATAACACAGATCATTTTAATAATAACACTTTCCATCATTTGAAGTTATTGAATTTAGTTTTTTATATCATAGTAGTTGTTGTCCGTTTTGACTGAATATTTTCCCACTGTTGACATATAATTTTCGCTCCTTGTGCTTTCTCTTCAGGAGTATCCCAATGCTAATTAGTACAGCGAGCAGATTTGGTGTTTGGTGCTGTTCTCTTACACCTTCGGTCCGTCTTTTCTCCAGATCCAGTAACATGGCCAAAAGTAAGTTTGAGTATGTGCGCAACTTCGAAACAGATGACACCTGTCTGCGGAACTGCTACATTGTCGTGAGACTGGATGGTCGCAATTTTCACAAGTGAGTATTCTTCATTTGCGCTAAAACACCAGGAGCTATTTGAATCCAAATTGTTGTTTTGGCGTCTTAATGCATTATGTGTTTCAGGTTTGCAGAGCAGCACAAGTTTGCAAAGCCCAATGACGACAGGGCCTTGGGGCTGATGACAAGGAGTGCACGCTCTGTCATGGAAGAACTGGAGGATATTGTTGTTGCCTATGGCCAAAGTGATGAGTTCAGCTTTGTTTTCAAGCGGTCTTCTACCTGGTTCAAAAGAAGAGCCAGGTGCTGATGTTTTACATAATGTTGAATAACATAATTTTCACACAGACATCCTCTAGCATTTTATCTGACTTCATTTTGTCCCCTCTTTTCCTTACAGTAAGCTCATGACCCACGTGGCCTCCCAGTTTTCCTCCTCGTACGTGTTTTACTGGAAGGAGTTTTTTGAGAATCAGCCCCTCCTGTACCCTCCGGGATTTGACGGACGGGTGGTCCTATATCCTAGCAATCGTAACCTTAGAGACTACCTTAGCTGGAGGCAGGCAGACTGTAAGTGCAAATGATGCTCTGAATGGTAAATCACACATTTGGTGTGGTGGAAATATCTCACATTGTGTCTCTGTTTCTTTAAGGTCACATAAATAATTTGTACAACACAGTGTTTTGGATGTTAGTGCAAAGAAAAGGACTCAGCACAACACAGGCAGAGGATCGCTTAAAGGTGAAACACAATTGATTAATGTATGTTTGAGTGTAAACTGGCAGATGCAAGTGCTTATTAACAGATATTAGTATTTGAAAAAGGTACCATCAAAAAAATCATATTAAGGTAATGCCCACATATTTAAGGTTGTAAGCATCGATATGTTAAAGACTGTCACTTATAGTCAAGGTCACCCACACCGTATTCAAAGTGTACCATGTCCCAAATGAAGACACACTGGCTTCTACCTACCAATAGATTCCAGCAGCATATTTTGTAGATCCATATCAGCTGATCATGTGTCAGAAAAAAACAACAGTGAATGCTCACATTTCTCAAAATGTGCCATATAAAGGATAATTGATTGCCATACTTGGTGATTTTTTCTTTCTGGCTACAGATACGTTATGGTAGGTATAAAGCTTTTCAACTACGAGTATCTGGACTCCTAAACAGCATCAGGAACAAGCTAGTGGCAGTGATGGCTGGTACTGATATAGTTATGTATTACTTGTAAATTAAAAGGTTAATTTAGGGTATTGAATATTGTGAATTAGCCACAGTAAGCAAATCTGCCCTTTTAACATTTCCTAGAAGGAAGGTGAGGTCCCAAAACTATTAGGAAAGGGAAAACATTATTTCCCCACACGCTATAGAAAACTGCCAACCAGAAACAAATAACTCACCAGACCACCAAAAACCGAGGAAACAGGCGATGAGCCCCCAGTTGGCACAATATGAAAAAGGCATCCCCTTCCCCTGAGTCCCAAGTAGCCATAAGAACAACTTCTTAGTTATGTATTAGTGTTATATTTATTGAACAACAGATTTCCCAAAAATCAGAGTATAAAATGAGTGAGCCAAGACCACAATAACAAACAAGTAGAGCTATCCATCAACACAAACTTACATGACCTGGCAAAAAGTAATAAACCCAAATATATACCTACCCGGACTGTGAAAATGAATAAATTGGTTGATTCGTTAGCTAAGAATGTCTTAATTGTAAAAATTCATCTATCAGTATAATTTCAGTTTAAAAACAAAACAAACATTTTCTCCATTTAATAATATCACTTATATACTTACACAACACTTGGCTTTAGGGGCTGATAAGTTTCAAGGTACTATTTCTGATATTTCATCTGAGTAAACAAAGAGGTTATTTAAAAGATGTAAGCTTTCAGCTACGTCATTATGAACAATTTATTACTGTGCATTAAAATAGTGTGTACAGGAACAGGTCTGTCACTAGCTATGACAGCTGCTACAGACTGACGCAGCTGTCCTCTGGAAATCACCTCATTCTTGTGGGGGCTGTCTGGAACCAGCTGATGGGTTTTGGGTGGATGTTTAGGCAGCATGAGTTATTTATTTATACCTTATCCAACATTCATGGTTCATAATTCCTACGTAATAATAACAACAACAAATAATAACAAAAAAATGACAGAGTGGTTTACTATTTATTTCTTGTTGATTTTCTTCTAGTTTTAATTCCAAAGTAAAAGACACAGCCACTATATATAACCAGCGGTTTGGTGGGCGGTGGTGTTCCTGTCATGCTTTTGTTGTAGCTGTTTATAAAACTGTACTATCTAAAGACCATGTGAGGGATTGTGTAGCTACACACCTAAGTTTGGATGTCTCACAGTATTTCTGCCTTTTTCAGGGAACATTGGCTGGAGATAAAAATGAGATCCTCTTCACAGAATTTGGTATCAACTACAACAATGAATCTGCCGTCCACAAGAAAGGTACCACCCTCATCTGGGAAAAGGTGAGGTGCTCAAGAAGGGTTTTAAATCTGTTCCCCTATTCCGTGGGCTATCTACTAAACTCAAAGGATAGAAACAAAGTATAGATCCTATCACGCAATTATCAGTCCGATACCGATACAGGCATTTGTGTCAATACTATTGATATTTTGATCAGTCCGCCCACCTCCATTCATCAGGTTAGGTATGCCTCTCAGTGAAGTGCAGGGACACGCTGATCCAATCAGTGCGGTACATGTGCAGCTCTGGACATCCATGGCACGAAATCTATTATTGCTTAATCTAATGTGCATGAACGCCACTTGTCCCTGTAAGAAATTGGACTCAGTCTGCATGGGGGTTCAGTACCTAGTTAATATGTCAGAGTTTGTTGTTGGAATTAACCAGACGAATTGCTCCACCTGCGACAATGCACCAAGTTCTGTGTCAAAAAGTTAGGGCAAAACCTTTTAACAGTTTGAGGTGACGTCAGAACCTGTACATAGAAGTTTGTTGTTGTCCAGAAATTGAATCCAAGGTTTAAAAAAATGCCTAAAAACCTGAATTCTTTTAAATAGCCAGCAGGATCAACTCTTGTGCTTGCATAAATCAATTCCCTTGTTATGAGGTTTCTCATTCACATCATGTAGACATTGCTTAAGATTTGTCTGCCATATTGGACCAGTAGGGAAACATGTGTATTCTTCTACTGGTTGGCAGTGGAGTACCTGGAGGTTGCTGGATCTTCCTTGGTGAAATATTTGCAAAGAAGATGCTGCACCCAAAAGCTCATAGTGATTGCTTTGGTTGCTAGCAGGTTTCCAAGGTTGCCTGCAGTTCTTCCTGTTTGTCCACAAGCTTTTGCTAACTACTAGCGTAACAGTAATAACTTGAGAAAGTGTGACGCAAATTGGATAGGGGGAAGATTAGCCTTCAAAGTAAAAGTCGCACCTTTTGAAACTTTGAAAGTCCTACTTTAACATAACACATGGTTTTATTTTTTATTTTTTTTAAGTTATTCCCAAATTTGCTGTGAAATAGATGTTAAAGCAGGGTATGCATTTTAGAATGGCTGCCTTGTGGTTGATAGATTGCTATTGTATGGTGAAACATCAGTTTTCTTCTCCGTCACATCCACCCCTCGCTAGTCAGATCAGGATTTATAACACCAGTCAAAATGCCTCTCTCCCAAACTCAAAACAGTAGTCCACAAACCAGGTCATGGGTGTGACCATATTTTATATAGTCTGTGGTTGTTTTTGCATGTTTAAGCACACTAACGGCTCGCTTTTTCAAATGGTGTCTGTTTTTCTTCTTGTTAGAAGCAGTGAAGTCTGAGATTGAAACATTAAAATCACCACACTGCCTTTTTTCCCCTTTATTGGTATTTCTGTTGTTGTACATGAAAGAGAAATGTCAGCAGCTGCATACACTTTTTTTTATTGCACATGACCTCACATTGTGGATGGAGTGTAAGAGAAAAGAGTTCTACCACTAACATAGCAAGAAGCCATTTTTAGAAATTTCCTTTTCATGTAATAGTAGCATTTCCTTTAATAGGACATTTATTTATGCAGTTAGATGCTCCTTGGTTGTGAAAGGGAAATTTAAACTCACACAAAAACAAAGAAAAGGAAAGAAGAGATTTTCATAGGATCAAATGTATAAATAAATAACAAAGTATAAATCACTGTAATGTGTAGTGTGTCAGGCTCCCACTTGCTGTGGCACCAGATGTAGACCTGACACTAACTGCAGGAAACGTTGGTTTCATAGAAATTTAAGTTAGGTTGCATCACACTGCACCAGCTCCTCTGAGGGTTTTTTTTTTTTTTTAAATGCACTCAAAACCAAATCCCACAAAATAAGTTTACAGGGTTTAGGTACCGGACTGATAGATTATGTACTGCTTATCTATTCTCCAAATGTTGAACTACTTATATTAATCAATTTTCTCATTTGTCTTATCTAGCGAGATGAGACTGTCATTAAACGCACAAAGCTGCCAAATGGGGAGGAAAAGGACATGCCCGTCACACGTAGCAGGAGGAGGGTAGAGGCCTACCATTGTGACCTTATAGGAGAGCAGTTCTGGGAGGAGCACCCAGACATCCTGGAGGATGACAACTGCTAACCGAACTTTTCCTGTTGAAGGAGAACAACTCTGAACGCATCTGACCTCGGAGGTGGAAGCGGACCCTTTTAAGCAGCCACTCCAGAGCTACAGCTTTATATTGACTTTGTGTCAAATGACATGTTACCCATGAAGATCTAATGTATTCTTACTTTCATATATAAAAATGTTCCTAAGATGTTGGAACTTCCCTTCTTTGACTGCATAATGATGTCTGTCATGTTTAAAGAAAAGCAGATGTGAGTGTTTTAATAGTGTGATATCTATTTACTCCTGCATGTGGCTCTCCTAAGGTTGCCTTTCCCAAAATATGCCCTCATCTGATACCATGAATGACATTTAGAATACTACCAACACTTGATCTTTCAGTACGTTTGACATATTTTCTCTTGGCCTCCTGCTCTTATTACTCAGGGGTATTCAGCATGTGTCAAATCTATTTTACCTTAAAATTCTAATCCTTGAGTTTTAATACTACTTCTTCAAAGCATTCCCTTGCAGTGTCCAGTAAGAAAAGAAATAAGCAGAGTAAAGCAGAAATCAATACCTTGACAGGAACTCACGGCCTTGTCTTGAAGCCAGCTTACCATTTAGAGACGTGAATGGGCTGCACTGTCATCGGAGCTAAGAATACCTCACACACCCTGCATACACTTTATCCTTGACATGTGCACTGTGGGGTAGTTATCATCACACTTATAAATGACCGGCTCAGTATGAATGGCTGCTGGAAGCCTAAACTAGTAGGAGCCTACTGTATGTTGTTACTTTAGGTGGACTCAGTTACAGTTGATATTTTTGGTTCTGTGACCTTGTTAAAAGCATTTAGCTGTACTGTATTTTATGTAATTAGAATTTAACTTTCTAAGCACAGATGTGGAGCAAATTCTAATACGGAGGCCTTTTTGTTTCAAATATACAGCGGTCATTATCTAGAATGACTTCATGAACAATTATATACAGATACAGTTATATAGTAATTAAAATATCAGCATATACTATATTATACTGTATGTTACTTTAATAACATATATAATCTGTATGCCTGAGTCATTGGCAAACAGTCCGTCCAGTGGTTCAGCATGTGGCCTAGAAAGTTCAGATAGCAGAACATGTTAGAACAAGTGGTGCAGTTATTTAAAGACAGCATATGCAATGCCAAACATTTACTCGCAGGTCTACTAAGTTAGACAATAAATTCAGGAGTGACCTAAATTGTAAGCTTGTGTTTATTTGTTGTTTTTTTTTTGGTTAGTCCTTCAGTTCTGATAAGGTTACTAAGCTACTGGTAAAATGGCCAGATGGTGTGTGATAACGCCAACTAAATTTAAAACACAGTCATTAGGTCATTTAAAAAGGAAAACACACACAGCCACTGGACCCATGTGGGTATTTTATGGAATTTTTCAAAAGGTCTAGTAGCTCATTGTCCAGACTATCCTTTAATTATAACACTGAAAGCTTTTTTTTAATTAACTGAAAATCTTAAAACAAAAGAAATTTCTGTATTGCATAGTGAAAAAAATTAAACTTTTCTGTCATCTAATGGTTTATTTATTACCTAATTACTTTGGTGTAGTATGAATGGTAATCAGAGAGGTCTTCATTAGTGGGAAAAGCTGTAAAACTTATGAAAATACAGTTAAAAGTTCAAAATTTATACCCTCCTTTACATTTTCCAAAGCAGTCCAGAGATTCTGGTCCCCGGGCCTTACATTTGACAGCCCTGTTGTAGACAATAGTTTTTAATCTTTAGCAGCTGTCAAAAAGCTTTACATTTGAAACTAACATGACTCTGCAGATGTCCTAGTGATGTCATCAGGAATGTCTTAATGTCTTAAGTACATTACCAATTTTAATTATTTCATAATAATTGTTCATAATTATTCTAAATAATTATGAAAAACATATATAGCACAGCTAATGTACACTTATCTTTTCAGTTATATATTTTCAATGTATAACATGAATGCAACAGTCCATTGTCTAGCCTATGGTGGCATTAAAGGTCCATAACTTGTTCTGAGAGACACTGCAATGAATAAGCATGTTATAAAAAGAGAACAACAGAAAGCCTCCATTAAAAATTGTTTTGGTGGAAAAGAAAGTGAGAAATTAGTCGAATAATGGGAAGTACATTCTTATTAATGTCTTTTGTCCTGTCTTCCTCCTTTTACCTTTAACTGGTGGCGCAGATGGCTGGCGTGGTTCTGGTAAAGGTTTCTTCGTGTTAAAATGAGGTTTTTCCTTCCCACCGTCGCCAAGTGCTTACTCTAGGGGTCGTCTGATTGTCGGGGTCTTTTCTGTACTATTTTAGGGTAACCTTACAATATAAAAACGAGTGTTATTGTGATGTGGGGCTATATAAATCAAACAGAGTTGAATTAAACATGATCTGGTATTTCTGTCAGTTTTGCCACTGCTTTGTCTTTCAAATTTGTGGAAGTACAGTAGGATATCCTTTGAAGTGGTGCAAATAATGCTAAAATAATCATTTCAAGACTTCTAGAATAAATTAAATGCGCTAAATTGATATATTTTTTAAATAATCCCGTTTATAGATTTTCACTTAAAAAAGCGCTGTGACCGTGATTTCCTTCTCGCTCGTTTGTTCCTGACTGCTTGTCTGCCTCGTCTCGGCTCATCGTCCTCTCTGTCTGTCGAAGGGGAGTGGTTAGGCAAAATGGTGTGCCAGCATCTCGCCGTTTGCCTCTGTGATGTGAAGCAACCGGGCCGGATCACCGCACATTTATGCCTCTGCTGAGCGACTTCACCCGGAGCCGTTTGTTTTTAGAATGCGTCCAGGAGCGCGTCCTCCACCACCACCATCACCACCTCCCTATGCCGCGCGGTGCTGTGTGTGTGTGTGCCTCATAGTTGTCCTCTACTGTGCCGTCGCTGCTGCTGTGTCTGAAGCCGCTGTTTACAATGGTGAGTCCAAGTGTTCCCCGGCACGACTAGAATCTGGATGCCTGCTTTGAATAGACGACTGTTGTTTTGCGCAGGGATGCATTCCTGTTTAAATGGTTGCATCAGGTGTGTGTCGGTTATGTAGACGACAACGTGGATCTCCAGTGTTGTTTCTTAACTAGCAGCAAAGATAAGACGCTAACTCTTATTCTGTGGTATTTTCAACCTTTTCCCTCCGTTCCATGTGTTTCTAATCAGGAGACACCAAACAGGCTTCGCTGGAAAGCATCCTTGAGAACGTGGAGAGTTATGAGATTACTTATCCCATATGGCTGCATCCTCTCAGACACAAGAGGTCTGACAACAAAGAGGTGAATTTGTCTCGCTCTTTGTCCTTCTGACTAACAAAATGCTTTAGACGCACTGACACACATCCAGCTTTCATATAAAACCTTTGTGTAAACCACTGCTGTGAAAAAGTGCTTGCCCCCTTCTTGAGTTCTTATATTTTTTGCATATTTCTTACTCTTAAATGTTTCAGATCCAACAAAGGGATCAGGCAAAGATAACCAGAGTAAATAAAAAAGCAGGTTTAAAATGATTTTAAACGATCGCTTATTGAGAGAAAAAGCTGTCAAAGCCCACCTGGTCCTAAAATTAATAACTAGTTGTGGCACCATCAGATTGCAAGAACTGCAATCAAGCGTTTGCAATAACATCACTGTGGAGGAATTTTGCCCACTCAACTTTGCAGAATTGTTTTATTTCAGCCAGATTGGAGGGTCATGTCAAAGCATATCCATCTAATTTAAGTCCAGACTTTAACTAGCCCACGCCAAAACCACTATTTAGTTGTTTTAGGCATTCGGAGGTGGACTTGCTGGTGTTTTGTAGATAGATCATTGTCCTTCTGCATAACTCGAGTGTGTTTGAGCTTCAAGGCACGAACTGATGGCTGATCGTCCTCCTTCAGGATTTTCTGGTAGCGAAAAGAATTCATGGTTCCATCAATGAGGGCAGTCGTCCCGAAGCAGCAAAGCAGCCCCAGACCATCACACTACTACCACCACCACCACGCTTGACTGGTTGCTGTGATGTTCTTTTTATGAAATATGAAGTACTGCGTTAGTTTCATACCAGATGTAACTGGACTCAAACCTCCCAAAAAGTTCTGCTTTTGTCTCATCAGTCCACAGAATGTTTTCCCACAAGTCTTGGTGATCATTATAATATTCTTTGGCAAAAGTAAGACGAGCCTTTGTGTTCTTTGTGGTCGGCAGTGGTTTTCAGTTTGGAACTCCTCATTGTGCCGTTTTACCCAGTTCTTATTGTTAAATCATAATCGCTGACCTTAACTGTGGAAAATGAGGCTTGCAGTTCTTTAGATGTTGTTGTGGGGTCTTTTGTGATCTCCTGGATGAGTCAAGTATGCGCTTTTGGGGTAAATTCGGGAGGCTGGTCACTCCTGGGAAAGTTCACCACTTCAAAGTTTTCTCCATTTCATCCATACAATGTCTCTCACCATGATTCACTGGAGTCCTAAAGCCTTAGAAATGGCTTTGCAATCCTTTCCAGAGTGATAAATGTCAGTGACTCTGTTTCTTTAGATTACAGTTTGTTGCTTTTTGAGATCTTTTAGCCTACTTCATTTTTTCAGACAGGTACTAGCAGTAATTGGGGCTTATAGAGTGTGGCTAATAAAATTGAACTCAGCTTTCCAGAACATGTGTTGAATCACAATTAATTCATGATTTGAAACATACAAGTGTGACAAATATGCAAAAAAAAAAAATCCAACAACTAAGAAATCAGGAAAAGGGGAAATACTTCCTTGGCACTGTCACTTCTTCTCACTGATTAGTATGCATTTAATGTTTTGCTTCCAGCATCCAGCAGAGGCACAGGTTCTCATCACAGCTGAGGGCCAGGAGCTCAGACTACTATTAGAGAAAAATGAGTGAGTAACTTGAGTTTTCAACACCAGCCTTATCGTTCCATGCAAAATCAGTAAAGCAGTAGTTTAGAGGAGCCGATGAAATCACTCATCGACATTGTTCCTTTGACTTCCACAACATGCCCTTTCCATACCTCTGTTTATTTGGCCAGATGTTAACTGTCACATAGACGCATTTATAAGGTCAGCGCCTCTTGAGGGGGTGCTGAGAAGGGGGATGAGCAGAGGAAAGCAGGCTGATGGTTTTTGGACACTGGAGGGATGACACCCGATCCGTTCAACCAGGGCATGATGAGGCAATCAGGAAGTGAGGATTGTGCCTCTGCATCTAACGCCCTCTAATCTGATGGAGCGGTTCCTGTCGAGCAACAATGGATTGGTGATAGGAAGGGAGCTTGGTGTCTCATCTGTTTAATAGACTGTGTGCTAGCTTGGGGGGGGGTTGCAACATTGAGATATCAGTGGTAACAACGGAGCTGCGGTTTATCACTTTTGGATTCGAGCCAGCGCACAAGTGGACCGGGAAGCTTTTAGGAATATTAGGAATGAAGTCCGTTTTTACCCTCGATTGCATACCGTCTCTGTCATTCATTGACTCGTAGGCACACAAATACTAACAAGCCCCGACTCCACCGTGTCTGACTGACTGTCCCCTGAGGGGATCTTGCCCCCTGTTCTCCAAACCCAGCAGGTGGTCACTCACTTACATTTCCTCCTGAGTGAGGTATGTCGCCTGTGCATGTGTGGTAAGAGAGTAACTGAAGAAGATAGGCCACAAAACCCTTCAACAAGGTGTTGAATGGTGCAAATAAAATATGTTACAATTTTTTCCTAAGAAAGAGGAACTACAATCCCCGCTCGGTACTCAGGACAGGAAAAAATATTGTGAAACTTGTGTTCTTTTGTGAAACTTCTCATTTTTTGTGCAACAGAGAAGCTGTGAGAATGGATTAACTCATAACAGTTTTTTTCTGCCGCAGTCAGAGTTACGGAGATTTCTGTAAAGATATTTACTTTTTTCTGAAAAGCTGGATTTAGTTACTGAAGCAGTGTATCCTGTGATGCACACACTTTAGTATAAAACTGAATGTTTTGATTCTTTAATGTACTGTGTCTGAGAGCTATATTGAGCTGAACAAATGATGCAAATATTCCATCCATGCATCCAGGCAACCATTTTCTGCTGTTTTTGCTTATGTGGATGTAGGTATTGAAGTCAGAAGACAGATTAACATTCGTTAAAAAAACAAACAAAAAACGAGGCTTCAATTCACCTCAGCTCATATTTCCTGTACAGTGTGCTGCATGAGCGGTGCTGCAGGTTCAAAGAAAGCTTGCAGCTTCTTTTGTAGATTCATTGTTTAGCTGAGGCTCAGCAGTGTTGCCCACCAACTCTGTTGCCCCACAGAGAATGCTATTCTGGATTAGCCTACCCTGTTTCTGTTTATCCTTTGCTGGTCTAATGTGAGACTTGAGTCAGGGCTAAGGCAGAAAGCAGTTTATGCCAAGGGAGATTAATGTCTGATTTTGGAGACAAGCCAGAGAAAATGCTACCAGCGTCCACCCTGTGTCCTGGTTACTCCCTTATGTCCTCATTGCACCTAAAACCGGACGAGAATTCAATTCAATTTTTAAAAAAAACGATGTGAGAGCTCCAGCTGTCCTCCTTAAATCACTTCAAATCTTAGGGGAAAGCATAACTGTGAGTTTATGTGGGCATCAGCCCCCTCCCCATGGCTCGAGTCAACACTCAATCCATTTCTGTCCTCCCTGGTCATGTTTTTGAATGTGTGTGTATCTGTGTGGCTCTTTAGCATTTATACTTCACTGGTGTGGTTGTGTATAAGCGGCTGCCTGAGCTTTTATCTTAATGAAAGACTGTAGTGCACCAGCAGAGGGTTAATTCAGTTAAGAGCAAGGCAGGGGCCATAGTGAGTGCTGACTCAGGTAGCAGGAAAAGGATGTAAAAACAGAGTGAGCGAGGCAGGAAACAGTAAGAAACTGAACGATGAGCTTGAGGTGTTGAAAGTCATAAGAAGAGGAAAGCAGATTCTCTGGTCAGTTCTGGTTCAGAATGTGCCGACACTCTTGCTTCCTCCTCCGCCTGACTTTCTCTGTTCTCCTCTTTAATGTCCTTCCTGCACACCCTTAAGTGCATTAATCTGAATTAAGCACTCTCATGGGAAGATCACACTATACTGTTTCTCCTCTCCTTCCTTTCCCCTCTTGTCCCTTGCCATCATGCCCACACCTTATATGTCTTTCCACTGGCCAACTTAAAAAATGTGCACCCCGTTCTTTCTCCTTCTCTCCCCCCTTCTCTCACCTCGTCTGATATCCCCCCAGGGCTTTAATCCAAATATACATTCCCACATGTTCCCTGCGGTCAGGCTTGGGCGTCTGCGGCCACACGCAGACAGACGACACTCGCAGACACATTTGTGCACCCCCAAAAAGAACACAAACATGACTTGAAAGCGCAGATCTGATGGATTGCAGGTCTGTTGAACAGAGAGTGGGTTCATGGATTTGCTTGTCCTTGTTTCCCTTGTGCCTATGTTTAGTTTCACAGCCGTCCTGTTTGCTTAGATGCATTAATCTAGGCCTCTGTGTTAGCCTGTGTGTGTGTGTTCAACCAAGGCTCCGCACACACAGAACGTTAGCCTCCATCTGCAATAAAAGCCTCTTCATCATCTGTTGCTGAGAGGTAATTTGACTTTGCATCAGCCTTCCCCCTCCTCCCCGTCTTCCTGCTCTATGTGGTGATGTCATCTGATACTATGAGAGAATGTGACCCACTGACCCTTAAAGCATTACCCCAAATTCCCTCTCGCTCCCCCCTTCTTTATCTCTCAAGTACATTAGCATTACTCTTCCCCCATCCCTTCTTTCTCCTCTTGAGGCTGAACCAGGCCTTTGTCTCAGCTTCACTGCCAGACCGCCGTGATTCAGGCATCGCCAGGCTCCTCAATCACAGCATCTGTCCAAGCGCTGGATGACATCCAGTCGCTGCTGCTGACCGCCATTGGACAAAGCTTTTTTTTTTTTATTCCAGTCTCTACTTGAAAGCTGTCACAGTATTCAGCAGAATACATAAAGCTTTGGGGTATTCCAAAAGTGTTGCTGGAGAGTTTCACAGCAGTTGACTCAGGGCTTTGTGGTGCCATTAAATTGCATATCTGGCCAAATTATTACTGATTTAATAAAGGGTGTAAAAGTTTTTAATTATCTGCAGTATTTCATTTAATTTCAATTTCAAATGACTAACTAAGTGATATTTATCTTTCTATTTCAGTTATTCTAATATGTTTCACCACCCTGCAGGTTGTCCATTTACTTGAACCCTGTATAGTATTTTCATTTCTTTCTCTCACTGAGCTCCAACTTCTGGAGACGTTGGTGATTAGAAATGAAACTCAGACACACCCGGAGGTTGTTATTCTCTGGTTTCTGTGGTTGTAACTCGCTCATCATTAATGCACACCTTAGATCTTACAGTTAGAAGTGCTGTAGAGTCAACTTTTATGTCACGATTGCTCAGTCATTGACTCTGTCTTTTGAGTTCATTGTTTTTTGTCCCCAGTTAAGAGTTTTTCAGTGTTCTTGTAATTATAGATTTCTGGAGTTCTATGTTTGTGGTTATGATTAAGTTCTAGTCTAGTGTATTATCGATTAGTATTTTGGGCATTTTGGTTTTGTCACCTGTTATTTTTATCAGCCTCCCCTGTGCTCATGTGTCCAGCTAAGTTTCCGTCAGTGTAGGCGTATTCATGTTTTGTTACTTCCTGTCTTATTTTGCCAGTCCCAGTCTTGTGTGTATTGTGTTCAGTTTTGGGTCCCCTTGTCTTGTTACTTAGATTCTGTTCACCCGTGTTTCATTTTCCTCAGCTGTATAATGGTTCCCTAATTACCTCATGTGTATTTCACTTCCTTTTGGCTGGAGCCCAGCTTTGTTTTGAATTTTTTTGCGCATTCCAGTGATGAATTTCCTTATTTTGAGTTCAGCCACTGTCTCTGGAGTCCTGCACAGTAGTTAGTGATGGTGTGATAAATCACCATGAATGTGTTGAATCTTTCCAATTGCTTCACCAAAAGGCAGAGGTAATATCCCAGAAGCCTCTGTACCGTCTGCTCTGAGATCGATTTGAGAAGATGTATGTTGTTATTGGGAGATATTATGTAAAATGCCCCCAAATTTGTGGACCCATAATGGTCACGTGCTGCAGAACAATACGGGCCTCGACACAGGCTTCATTTGGACACGCCCCCTTTGCTCGACACAGGCCTCGGGGCTTCAACATCAGATGTAACATCACCAATATTGGGTCCTAAATCTGTCTACCGTGCAGCATATTGTGAGATTTTTAGTTGTTATTTTGCCATGTTTTAAGTCTTTTCTATTTCTTAAGCATAGACTACCATCAACGATACCAAAGTAACTTACAAATACATTGCTGGGATTAGACTTTTCATTAAAACTTTCATTAAAATGAGTCCCCAAGGAATAGCAAGATTCAGCTCAGAAACTGCAGCTGACTGTCAAGTTAAGGATAAGAGAGAACAGAAGTGGAGTACTTGTGTGGTTCCATCATGGAAGAAATGACTGTGGAACAGCAGCAGGCTAAAGTTCAGTCATCTAATGTCATTAATTGCCACTAAATTGGCCTACAGTTGACACAGAGGATGATGGGAAATGTCTTCAGGAAGTTAGGGAAGCTGGAAAACTTGTGGAATTACAGATATAAATGAGATTTAGCTCAAATCACAACATGACCCTGTTCATGCTGACATCATACGTCCCACCGATCGCTTTGAGGTCCCCCTTTAGAGTTCCTATTGGTCTATGTGGTTAGCCAGCCCCTTCTTCCTGTGAGTCCTAATCTGTTAAAAGTAGTCAGGCTGTCATTGTCTTAAGAGGCTTGTTTCCTTCTTGGCATCTAACAGGGATGAAAAAGAAAATTTGCATCATCCTTTCAATGAGTTTAACACTGGTGGATCTGTGCTAATTTGCCTTCCTGGTCAGATAGTCAGATTAGAAGCCATTCTTATCCTCGATAAAGCTTATAGGTATAGTTAGGGCTAAATCAAGTGACTCAGAAACATCCCTTAGGTACAATACCTATCCAAGGTTTTGGATTGGGAGGTAGATGGTCTTTTCCTGCCTTTGGGCAGAACATAATTTCCAGCAGTTTAATCATTTGTTCCTCATTGAAATATATGGCAGTGATAAGGATCTTCTCATTTAACTTAAGAAATCAAATTTGGCTGAGGCATATTTACAAGAAGATTACATTTTTATTTTTCTATTTCCCTTAAAAGCCACCAGATTAAAAAATAAATGAAGAAGCAATGATAATAAGGAAATCTTTAAGATCTTTGGTCTGTTTGAGTCAAACTCCTGCAGTTTAATGCTGCAGGAAACAACATCAGTAGATGTGCTTGAGTTTCTCTGCAGTTACAGCCAGTTGCTGAGTTGGCCTGAGGAGAAGATGAAGATGACTTAAAGTTTAAAGTTGACTGAAAACAGGAAGAATGGTTTGCAATAAACATTGGACTTAATTGTGCTGATACAGATAAATAGAAAATCAGAGGATTATGATACTTTATCCAAAGAAAGCTTTCGGTGTCATGCATATGCATGTTTCTGCTTCACAGCAAAGAAGCTCAAGAGCACTTGTAAATAATCCATCTGTCAAACAAATGCAGTTAGGACATGCCAACAACTGAAGCTGTCAGCATAGGGAAGTTATCATCTCTTGCTTCAGCAATAGACTAGTACTCGCCAAGAAGTAAAAAGGATCACTGGGGGATGGTACATATGGCTTTGATTACAGTTTCCCACATTCTCCTGTGCGCTCTCTTGTCACCAATAGGCTCTTTGTTCAAATCTTTAAAGCACTTTGTTTTTTGGGGAGCGCTTGTGTTAGAGTGAATGTTTTACGAGCTGTGGGCTGTTGCAGAGAGTCTGTCCTCTGCTAACCTCTCAGCTTCCTGCAGTTTTGTATTTCACCGTCTTTTCACAATATTGTTGTTTCCATAGACTGTATTACTGTCACAAAATGCAGAATATTTTGTTGTCCCTGAATTTGTGTTTTTTTACCCAGGCAGCTGTTGGCCTCTGGATATCAGGAAATATGGTACACACCCAATGGAGCGCGCAAGTCCTCTTCTCGACCCAGCACTGTGAGTCTGCGAGATAGTTTCATGCTCATAGGCTGCGGAGGGGAGTCTTAGCTGATAAACATCAGTGTAGTTGATCAAGTCAAGTGGGAGGAGGGTAATAAACAGTTAGTGACAGGTTTTGGCATAAATACTACTACTTCTGTTTACATTAAAAGGTCAGTGTGTGATGAATGAAAATGTTGTTTTTCAGGGACACTGTTTCTACCATGGCGAGGTTCAGGGCATGGAAGGCTCCAGCGTTGCTGTCAGCACTTGTTCAGGGCTCAGGTAATAAAAAATATTTCTTATTATTCATTAAATCCCTCCAATGAGCAAGCCTTTCATTAAATTACATTGGTCTTGAATTATCAGTCCCATCCTATCTTTAGGAACTCATCGTATCGTATCACCCAATTAGAGCACTTTGCTCTCAGACTGCAAGCTTACTTGAGGTTCTTAGGGTAATAAAAAGTAGAATGGGATCTAGAGCCTTCAGCTTTTAGGCCCCTTGTCTGTGGAACTGGCTCCCAGTTTGGATTCAGGAGACAGACAGTCTCTCTATATTTAAGATTAGGCTTAAAAGTTTTATTTTTTTTTACAAAGCATATAGTTAGGGCTGGAACATGTGACTTTAAACCCTTGCTTAGTTATGCTCCAACAGGCCTGCGCTGTTCGGCTTCCCATGATGCACTGTTTCTTCTTCAGTCACCTCTTTTTACTAATGTGCATTTAATCATTAGGTATCATTATTTATAATTAATCTCTGTTTTCCCCTCTCTGATTCTGGTTGGAGCAGAGGTTTCTTCCTGTTAAAAGGGAGTTTTTCCTTCCCACTGTCACCAAGTGCTTGCTCGTACAGTGTCATCTGATTGTTGGAATTTGCTCTGTATTAAGGCAGCATTTTTGAGGTGTTTATTGTTCTGATTTGGCGCCATATAAGTCAAATTAAGTTGATTTAAGACAGGGGAAACCATGCATCCGAACAGATTTAGAATATAAAAAGTAATAAAACTTTACAGTAACATATATTTAAGTCCAACTCAAGTATGGATGGATGTAGATGGCTCAGAGTAAGAGAAAAGTTTCTCAAGTTTGTTTGAAAAAACACCATTTAAAGCTACATGTTCCATCCATAGATAAAATCTTTAAATTTATCCGGCAAGGAAAAGAGCTTAAAGGACAAAAAAGAGGATGTTTCTGTAAAGTCAACATTTTCTGAAAAAGCAGAGGTAAGAGCTAAAAGACGTGATGGCAGGGGAAAGAGCTGTGCTTATACAAACAGGAAATTGTTTGATACCGACTAGATTGTGCAGAGTTTATATTGATCAGCTGGTTGCTCAGCTCATTCATTTGCTTATCTATAGTAGCAATAAGTTGCTTGCTTTTAAAAAAAAACTGCTAGAAACAAGTTTCTCAAACTTCCTGTCTAAAACATGTACGTATTTCTGTTTTATATACGTGCTGAGAGACGTGCTGAGAATTCGACAGCTGGGCAGTGGGAGTAAAAGATGTATGAATTTGACTTTCTTCAGCTTGTGATCAAGCTGTGCCTCAATAAATAATGTTACAGGAAACAGCCCTGTGTACTGTCCGATGTAGTCTCCAAGTTTATTAGGTCACTGGCTTCAGTGCTGGTTCATTGAGTACAGCTCGGTACTGGAGATCTTGTGTGTTCTCCTGATGCACCTCCAGAGCAGCTGCTGCTTCCTGCTGGAGACACTCAGAGAGAGAGAGAGAGGAGAGGCAGGCAGCAGAGGGGGAACTAGTGAGGGCTGACAAACATCTTAGTCGTGCGTGTGTGATTTCTTTCTGGGTTAATGTTCTGCATCTGGAGGATGAGCGAATAACATCTTCCTGCTAATGTCGATTCTGCAAGGGAATGCAAATACAGCATAAAGGGATGTTGACGTGTGGGCGTCTGACTTCTCCAGATGTTTTCTGCAGCTGCACGGCCCGCTGCTCTGCATGCACTCGTGTGTGTTTGAGTATAGGTGTCTGTTATGATCAGTGGCTTTTTGAAGAGGATTGTTTATGTCAGCTGATCTTTATTTACACAACAACGGAGAAAGAGAGAAGCGTGACCTTCTGTCGCACAAATATTAAGACATCGCTGATTTTCTGAATATGACTGTTTTTCCCTCCTAGGGGACTAATTTCCCTGAACACGAGCATCAGCTACCTGATAGAGCCTCTTCTTGTTTCTACGGATGCTGATCGGCATGCTGTGTTCCGAGCCGAGAGTGTTCGTCTCCCCGGGGGTCACTGCCAGCATCACCATGGCAAAGTGGAGCATGAGGAGGGGCTTAATGACTTTATCAAGGGAATGATGTCACCACAGGGTTTGAGGGTGAGCTCAGTAGCAGTAACCTCATCGATGACATTCTTTGAGATTTACTAAAACATGATTATGTTGTCTTTCTCGTCAGGAAAAAAGGGAAGTGAGTCAGAATATGAAGTACGTAGAGCTGCTCATAGTTGCAGACAAGACTGAGGTGAGAAAACAGTGTACTCATATTGGGTGACTTTTGCAACCACACTGGGGGTTTTTGCAGTGAACCATTAAGATGTGGTAGCGGGGAGTGTGGCTTTTCGTATGTGGGATTAGGTGTGTGCCATCATTATTATTTATGACCTGTAAAGTTTGCATTGTGTATAGCTTCCCACTTCATGCAGTTGCAGGTAAACCCAATTGTGGAGAACGCTTGCAAAAAAAAAAAAAGGTTCACTTCCTGTTTTATTTCAAGTGTGAGATGTACCCTTTATGGGAAAGATATTTTAACAGATGTGTAGACGTTGAGTTTCTATTTCTGTGTGTTCATTGTGGTTTATGGTCGTTGCAGTTTGAGAAGCACAACTCTGATCTTGATAAGACGAAACAGAAATTAGTGGAAGCAGCCAACCTAGTTGACAAGGTAACATCTGATTTGAAACCAGGAAAAAAAAAAAAAAAACCCAGATACTGGAGTTTAACATGCCTATTTTTATTCCTTATGCCGACACCGATAGTACTACAAAGCTTTAAATATCCGTGTGGCACTAATTGGTCTGGAGGTGTGGACCAGCCAGGACATGATCAGCGTCTCCGATAACCCGCACAGCACCCTGGCAGCGTTCCTGTCTTGGAGACAGAAACAGCTACGCAGTCTCCCCAACGACAATGCTCAGTTGGTCACGTCAGTGTTTCTCATTCACTCTAGTACATTTCATAATCATTGCGCAAGACAATAATAAACACCGGTTGCAGTCCAGCGGGATGCTCTTGACTTGGAACTAATTTTAAGTGCTCTCTTTTGTCTCCAGGGGGAAGTCATTCCGGGGCACGACCATCGGGCTGGCACCTCTCAAAGCCATGTGCTCCGAATACCAGTCCGGCGGAGTAAACATGGTGAGGGACGAGTGTGTTTAGATTTAAATTTGATGATGCTACGCTACATCAGCATGCATCAAGTCAAAGAATCACACGTTGATTTCTGCTGATCTTAAAATTCTCGTGCTGTGTCGAACAGGACCACTCAGATTTATCAGTCGGCGTTGCTGCCACGATGGCGCACGAGATGGGACACAACTTTGGTATGAGCCACGACATTCCAGGTTGTTGCCAGGCGAAAGCAGAAGACGGAGGCTGTATCATGGCTGCTGCTACTGGGTATGAAATTCAGCTTTCCACAATACAAGAAATTGCATTCATTAAACCAGGAGAAAGGGGCTAAATGATAGAATATGAAAGAAAAAAATCGAACCTGATTTCTTCCTTACCTCGTGCTCAGGCATCCTTTTCCTCGAGTGTTTAATGATTGCAACATGAAGGAGCTGAAGAGCTACCTGAGCTCTGGAGGAGGAAAGTGTCTCTTTAACCTGCCCAACACCAGGACAATGTATGGAGGGCATCGCTGTGGTAATGGTTACCTGGAAGACGGAGAAGAATGCGACTGTGGAGAAGAAGAGGTCAGTGGGTGTTTCTGTGTATGCACTGCGGGTTTTTCTTTTGATGGTTTTGCCAGGCTTCATAACTCTACAACACGTTTTGCCCAGGAGTGCACAAGTCCATGCTGTAATGCCAACAACTGTACCCTGAAAGCTGGAGCTGAGTGTGCCCACGGAGTCTGCTGTCAGAACTGCAAGGTACATTTATTAGTGTACATACTATTTAAATGGGAAATCACCAGCCCTTATTCTCACTAGTACAGAATAAATGTTCTACTCTTCTAACTTTATTTATGTCATTACTCTTTTGTCTTTCACTGTGAAGCTGAAGAGCCCGGGTGTGCTGTGCCGTGCTCTCTCGGGGTCATGTGATCTTCCTGAGTTCTGTGACGGCAAAACAGAGTCTTGTCCTGCAGATTTTTATTTAGTGGATGGCACATCATGTGCAGGCGGGAAGGCCTATTGTTACACCGGCATGTGTCTGACCCTTGAGCAGCAGTGTCGCTCACTTTGGGGAAAAGGTGGGTAAAGCGGACTCTCCATCTATAGCTAACTGCTGTTTATCCTCACTTAAACGCACTTGGTTAATTGATCATCAACAAGTCTGAGCACCTCATAAAAGCAGAGGTTTTGGCAGTTTGCTGGTCTGGAACATGCAGGTGTGTTTTAACATAATCCTACAATCAAGAAAGTAATCAAGGTGTTGGAATAGTCCAGGCAAAGTCCAGAACTCAGTCCGAATGAAATGTGGTGAGAACTTAAGAGAATTTTGCATAAACAAATTCAAACAAACCTCAGTGAACGGAAGCAACATTGTAACAAAGAGTCGTCCAAAACTCCTCCACAAAATGTTGAAACTGATGAACTCATACTGAAAATAACTACTTCAACTTATTTCTGCTAAAGGTGGTTTTGCTTCTAAAAATGGTCTTTATTATTAAAGGATTATTAAAGTTTATATACATATATCTTATAGACTAACTTTAGATCAGTATTTTTAGTGAACAATAAATGAACAAAAATAAAACTGAGACAGTCAAATTTTACAAACTGTACATGGTTTGAAGGTGCATGCACTCATGCTTTGAACTTTAAAATGGTCTTGGTTTTATTTTAAGTTACCAAAACCACAGGAACAATAGCTCACTACTTTTTAAGGAAGTGACTGCACAAATAATATCTCTTTTCTTTTCATCTGTAGGGCTTTGAGGGGTTTGAGTCATACCAAGTTTCTGGACTTTTTTTAATTAAAGAAATGAATGTTAAAGAGATAAATATCCAGTCAGGCTCAGTGTATTTAAAGATGAGTCCTTGATGGGTCACAGGACTAGGGATTGTTATTGGACAGTGTCCATGTTCATGTGGTGACAGAGCCTTTGTAGTACCACAGGAGCCACATTGAACAGTAAGGGATGCCATCTGGTCTTCATCAGACGGTCAAATAACACAACCTGACTGTATGCCTGCATGTGTGTTATTGTGTTTGCGTGAGCTCACACTTTTAAATATGTTTCTGTGCATTTTTTTGTTGTTGTTTTTTGTTAAACCACAGATGGTCGTCCGGCCCCTGACCTGTGCTTTAAGAGGGTAAATGAAGCTGGCAATATGTATGGGAATTGTGGCAAAGATGAGTCTGGGAATTACAGGAGCTGTAGTGACAGGTGAAAACCAAAACGTTCAGCAACAAACTAATCACACTTTCATTTACTTCTCCCTCAACTGAAGTCTAACTTTGTTGTTTTGGTTGGGGGGTTCTGTTTACATGACAGGAATGCTAAATGTGGGAAAATCCAGTGTTTGGCTTCAGCCTCCAAGCCTATTGAGCAAAATGCGGTTGTCATAGAAACCACGGTTACTGAGGGCTACAAAAGAATCATGTGCAAGGGGACACATGTGTACAAGCTTGACAAGGAGGAAAAGGAGCCACAGGGTGACACTTTGGATCCAGGTCTGGTCATGACGGGCACCAAGTGCGGCGAAGACTTGGTGAGAGTTATGAAAATGTACTAAACAGAGTTTGCAGTAGTAGTAAAGAGCATGTACCAGTACTACTTTTTTTTTTCACCCGATCTTAAGTCACAAACAAAGCAGACAAAACTGTTTCGATCAGACAGAGAAAATGGATCATCTGTGATTTCAGTTTTCACCTGAAAGGGGATAAGCAACTTGTCTCGAAGCGCTTCTCTAATGTTCCTCCTCACGCTTCTTTTGTTTGAACAGATTTGCTTTAACGGATTATGCCGCAATGCATCTTTTCTCAGAGCGGGGGAATGCAACGCCAAGTGCCACGGACATGGAGTAAGTTTCAGTGTGTCGTAGAAGAGATGCTGGTTTGATGGATTTCTCTGGACTTCTGAGAAAGATTTGGCAGCTAGCCTACAATTACTGAAAGCTGGCGGCCCTAAGCAGCGCTGCAGGAACGGTCCAGATCCTTTGCTTAATTAAAAGTAGCAACACAACAATATAAAAAAAACATATCATAAACAAGTAAGGGTTTGGCATTCAGGCATCTTACTTATGGGAAACCACGGCTGTATTACGCAGCAATATGGTCACCTCTGTAAAATGTTCCATAAACTATACAATTTTTTTCGGCAGAGCCTTTTTACTACATTTTGTTACAAAACATTGACTTCCTGTCCCTGATTCTCCTTCAGTCGTAAAAAATGTGACTTATTCTCTTACCAGCTGTGCAACAACAACCGTAACTGCCACTGTGATCCAGGCTGGGCTCCTCCTCTCTGCGACCAGAAAGGATCAGGGGGCAGTGTGGACAGCGGGCCTGTCATCAACCGCAGTGAGACCCATGCACCAATCATTCATGTGCAGTTAATTAAAGTTAAAACAGTTTTTTTGGTGTTTGTTTATTTTCTGACTCTTGTCTATTTTATATTCCAACAGGAAGCGTTGGTACAGCCCTCCTTACTTCCTTTCTGCTTCTTTTGGTGGGTTTGGCTGTTTTTGCTTTTTGGCGCTTCGGCAGACATAAGCTCCCCTCGCTGAAGCCTTCTGCTCCACCACCAGTGCCAAAGTATGTAGTTCTGAAGTTGCTAAACACTAAAAACGTACTTTGCAGATAACGTTTTTCCTTTGTGTTGTGCGAACATCCAGAATGAATGAAATCCACACTTCCGAGCCACCTGACGTCAAGCCTCTTAATCCGGAAAGTCGTGCCAACGGTCATGCCAACCCAACATTCTTGCTAAAGAATTCGGTAAATAAGCCCACTCTTTGACCACCTAAGTAATGTCTGTCATGTAATACCATAAAAAATGTTGAAAATACTTGTCATCTTTGTGCTTTTCCACATGGGAAGCCTTCTCCGCATCCGAGCCCGTCTGCCCCACCTCTACCCTGGAATGGTATTGTATATCCTGCAGGGAAGCCTCCTCCCATACCAATGTGTGCAGGAGAGCAGCGAAAGCAGACACCACAGCCCCAGAGAGTGATCTCTCCTCAGGGCCGCACTCCCCCTGTCCCTCCAGGACAGAAACCCAACCAGGCTTCTGCACTGCCTACAAGACCTCCACCTTTACGCTCCCTGGATGCCAAAAACTCGTCACAGCTTTCAGCAGTACCCAAAAATAGACCAAACCCCCCAAACAGACCTCCACCGCCTTGCCCTATCAAAAAACAATCAGGGGTAAATCCTTCTCTTCTGCATTAATAAGTAAAGTGTGTACTTTTGCAACAGTGAAATAAATGCTGAACGTCTCGTTTGTCTTGCAGGACCCTGTGAAAGGCCCACAGGTTACCACCAATGCCTTGCAACGAGGAAAACCTGGTTTGGCTCCATCTGCTGGACAGAAAATGCCAAACAGGTAAGTGGTCTTGTGTTCCCAAATGTCTCTCTGTAGGAATAAACAGATCTTAATACCGTCCTATATTTTATTAAAATTTTCTTGCACTTCTTCTCTCTAGAGCCTAATCTACAAGCTCAGGGAGGCATTGGGGACCACTGCTTACATCCAGTGACAGACTGCCTCAGAATATCTTTTCAGTGCAGTGCCAGGTCGTAAAAAAGGTGATAAGCGAGGAATACTTGACGCTGTACACTGGTGTGCAATATGTGGAAAATTATATAATTACAGCAAGTTATAAAGTAGAGATGTTTTAAGCCTAAGATTTAGGCTTAACAATGAGTGCTTTGTGTATTACATGTGTCTGCTTTATCAACTTTGAAGCTAGAGCTCTGAATTGAACCGCGTTTAGTTTCTTTTACTTATGTTGGTAGAATTATAAATGAAGAAGTATTTATTCACAAAATCAATGAGAAATGAATGTTTACAGAGAAACCATTGTACCAAACGTGATGCCTCTCAAAGCGAATTAGCCATAAAGGGATGTCTTATATTAAGAAAAGATGCCAGTAATGAAGTTCTTATCTGTGAATAATAATGGGTTTTAACTGGACTGATAGTAACCAGAGAAAGACCTGCATGCGTGCTGTAAGTTTATTCTTATGGTGAAAAGTGCATGTCTGATATGTAGCAGGAGCTGTGAGGGACTTTTTTCCATTTCTTTAGTTTTTAATTTCTTTAATTTAATTTTTTTTAATTGTCTTTTTGAGTTCTCATGCCCTGAAGGGTTTAAAAGGTGGTCGTGTAACCGCAGGCTTTGGAGCAGTAATAATTTGGCATTACTGTTAGGTGCTTCTAAATATTGTGTCATATTGTGACTGCTTGGGGAATTGTAATCTGTAAAAGGGAAATGCAGAATGCCAACTCCCATGTTTTACCTCATTATCAGACCTATGCAAACACAGGGCTTGTGTAACACTGTGTCTGAAACTGAAATTCAAATGAACACATGGGTAAATAAAAAGATATTGAACATTTTAACAAGTTGTTGTTTTTTCAGCTTTTTCTTCCTAGCTTTCGCCAATACAGCTGCCAGCAGCAGTTCTTGAGCTCAGAAACTTGCTATGTTAGATTTTTAAAAAATGGCTTTTTTTTATAAAACCAAAAAGTGTGTAAAAAGTGTCAGTGATGAACATATAATCTGTCTTTTCCCCTTCATTGTAAGTGCTATGTACAAAAACAGCTCTAGAGGTACTTTTAAACCATAGATTTGAACATGACTGCATCATAGACAACTTGAATAAATAGCAACTCTGAGGGATTGTAAATTATTTTCCTGTGCATTCTTCCAGTAAACTGGAAACACCTTTATTCACCCTGTTCACAATTCTCTTAAAGTGGTTCAGACTGCATTTGCAGAAGAAAAATAAACTCTTAATTTTAGCGTTTACATTCATACTTTGGCCACCAGGTGGCAGCACAACATGCTGGAATCAACACTGACACATCATCACATGACCAAAATAGAAACACTTCACAGCCAAGGCTTATAGTCTTACAGTGAAGGGATCATCATTAGTATTTCTTTGGGGAGCTGATGACCACCCGACTACCAGTTAACTCATTTAGTCTAATCTCAATGCTGTCGTGGCGTGTTCTCCTCATAGAAGGATTTTTTTTGAACATATTACACTAAAAATAGTCGTCCATATTTGATTTATCACATCCTGTTCTTCCTGAAAACAACTTGGTAGTAGGAGCAGAGTGGAATAAGATGAGCCAGTGGCTACGTTTATCCATGTTCTGTGCACTGACAGCCATGACATATAATGAACTTATTTTTTTAACCGTTTTTGGCAGCTCCATCAAAGCAACTGTATCCAGGTCTAAAAAATTTTTATGTTTCTTATCTAGAGATAATTTGAGGCAAATGCTGTGGGGCAAATTGTGTCAACAGTCCAGTTTACATTGTACAGCAGCACATTTTCATTGTACAACTTACTCATTTTCCCGTATCTTGGATATCACGAGTTAAAAAAGAAAAAGGCTCTTTTTACCCCAGTCTCCCTTACCAGTTCTGTGCTGAGACAATCCACTGTGCTAAATTGGAGTTGAACTGTTTTTTGTACATTTCCCTCTGCTTTCCTGTCACTCACCTGTCACCAGTGTTTGTATAAGTGTAAATGGCATTCCCTCTTAGTAGGGCTGGAAATGCTGAAAGGTGTCTACCTGCCCTTTAGATCTCTGCATCATTCACTGAGATGAAAGCACTTTGATTTATTCTAATTAAAAAATCGTTAAATACCAGGGCCAGACCCCCCAAACCAATCTATCTCCAACACAAAGACAGCCTATCGCATGCACACACATATAGACACATACACAGTAGTTGACTCTCTGTGGACTGTAGAGCCAGGTGATCTTCCACAGGCATTGGTAGGCAAAGGTTTTAGCATGTGGCTTAATTGCAGCCAGCCTCCCCTGCTGAGCGTAATTAGTGTTCGCTACCATGTCACTTCCTGTGGAGGTTCATTTATTAGAGATGATGATTGGCTGTGGGATGAAACGCGGGGGTGACACCCCCGCCTCCCCTCACAGTGGGAGAGGGACACAGCCAGGAGGCCAGTAAAGAGAGGATCTCTCCTGCTGGATGCTCCCCTGCCTTGTATAATGACCTCATTAAACCCAAGTTGTTTTGCCACTTGTCATGTTGATCATTTAACACACACAAAAATTCACTTTTCGCCAGTCGGCCTGAAAATTCCTCTTTGTCCTGACTCTGTTATCAAGCTATTTCACATTTATTATTCAACACTGACACACCGATGCTTTTTTATTGCTTACTTTCTTTCAAAAGTAAATAGGCTGAATTCAGGATGAACTATTTAATGCCAAAAATGGCATACACTAACAGGCAAACACAGGTACTACTAATCAAATTAATGAAGGCTCTATACCTAGATGAGAATCTTTATTAATGTCATTAGTAACACCTGAGCCATGAATGGTAACCAACTAACTCAGAGGCTGCCAGAGTGGTTTTGATGCCCCAAATCATTATTGTCTCTTCATTAACAGAAATAAGAATAGCTTACAGTTTGTGAAATAAAGGAGCAGACACTGGGAGGCAATCGCAGTTTCCCCCACTGCAGCATAATGTTGAGCTGCCTCTTGGTTTATGCGGTGTAAGACCGTAGATCAGCACACTGATATCAGAGTGAACGCAAACCGTTTCTTTGTGGTTATCCATTGTGTGACAGAAATGTGGGTTATTATCGCCGAGAGGCTAATTTGTGCTATGACAATGGCAGTCACTTCACATCAGCACGCGTTTACAGCCAGTCTCTTAATTGCATGCAGTAAGTGTCTCCATTCTCTCATGGAATAAAAACAGATCAGTTAATCTGTTCCATAGATTTTTTTTATTGATTATTTTATTATTATGAAGTAAACACCCGACTGGGGGCATGATTTCCAATATGACAAGTGATGTATGTAAGCTCTGTGGTCTTGAGCAATCACACAGAAGTGTGAGGGAGTTGTTACTTGGGGCAGGTGCAGTCTGATCAGGCACAATAAGTAAAACAAACTCTAATGCATGCACTAAAAAAACGTGTGCATGACACCATTAAATATACAGCTATACTATATTTTGTATATTCGGTCTACATTATAGCATGTAGAGGAAGTGCACAGGCTCCTTTTGGCTGAAAATAAAATGATTTAATGGTAGCATGCAAATCTTGGAACAATACAAAAAAAATCTTATGAAGTTTAATTGAAGGTTTGGGTTCAAGCCTGGAGTTTGATTGTTGTGCACATGCTTTTTGGAAATCACTTCACCTGCCAGTAACTGTGCCAAATGAGCAAGCGAGATGCCTGCCAGATATTAGCAGCTCCTGGGGTTTCTGTTGAAATTGGATAAAATCCCACAACTGCAGATTTACTGGCTCATTTACCAGACTAAATGCTACAGCCAGAGGTGCCAACAACCATGGCTGTAAATAACATCCGTGTACTTTTGTTAAAGATAGTACAACAGCTACGATTAATGTTCAGTTACTGTTTGTTTTTGTTTTGCAATAACATTGCATTATTTCACCGCTGAAACGGCAGAGGTGAAAACTTCAGTCCACTAATGAGGGTCTAACTTTTTGTTGCCTTCAGTGTTTATGGTCGGGTCACTACCCCAGGGACTGATTGTGGGTTGTATAGTTAAGTGTTGCTCTGATTGATGTATTTTGCCTCTGGCAATAAAAGGTCAATATAAATGATTAATGAGAGGAAAATGTCATGAGGGAGGGAAAAGAGAAAACAGGGTGATTAGAACCTAAACTTTCCTCTGCTCTCTCTTTTTTTTTAACCTTTTACCCTCATTTTAGGATGTAAAACCCTGAGATTTAACTACACGTAAAAAATAAGAATGTAGGTCTTTCATTAGGGAGGAGGAGGAAGATTATTCAGAATGGGCTTGAGTGTTAATCACAGCAGCAGACAGACAAATTGATTACAGATCAGCAGAGTTTCCACTCGTGATGTTTATCCCTTTTACTGTGATACCTGTTATGTGTGTTTAAATCAGTGAAGAGAGAATTCCTTGTGAGATTCCAGTAAAACTGCATGTGAGTTCAGACGACAGCTCTTTCTCTCTAATTATAAAACTTCAGCAAATCTAATGAATACCCTTATGAAAATACATTCAATGACCCGATCAGCTTGAGACATGTTTGATGCATCCCTTTAGGATGCTACTGTATGTGTGTGAGTGCCACTGATTAAACCAATAACAAGAATATTTTTGACACCACAAAAACAGCCACACTTGAGTTAAATTTTAATACTCTTTATTAGATCACAAAACAATCCCCACAGATCTTTTCATTTTTGTGCAAAAAAGCTGGTCTACTTTAGCATTACTTTATAACATTCAGAGAGTATTTACACGCAGTTATTGCACAGCTGCAAAAATTATTTTTTATATGTTCAAAGAGCAGCATGAAGTCCAAATAATATAAGCTGGCAAATATTCCACAGAAACACCAGGACATACAGGATATACAGATCTGTTCTACTGTGTAATTTACATAATCATTATTGCCAGAAGCTTCTATGTACAGCCACCAAAAATCACCTTACTCTAAATATAGTAATGCTAACACATTATTGTGAATTCGGTCATTTACACAGATATAGATGTAGTCCACATTCACACCGATTGCACTTCTTACCTTTGAATAATACTATAAACAAACCTGACAGAATTACAGTTATTTACAGTTCAGCACTCTGCAGTCCTCTCAGCTTCGGTCGGGTGATGATCGGCTGAAAAGGTGGTAGCTATTTTTTTTCCTCTATGCTTTGGTTCTCCCACGGCACAGGGTCGTTTTCCTGTGTGAGTGATCCACCTTCCCTCTCGTGCCAGAACTGCTCCACATCAGGCAAGACGCTCCCATCTTTAAGACTCACGGTGTCCGCTTCCCTCCCTCCTCCTTCTGCTCCGACTTGCTCTGGCTGAGGCTGAGCTTCCCTGGTGGCTTCCTTGCTGCAGCCTGATTGAAGGCTTCTCTCCCCCCGCAGCTGACCTGAGGTCTCTGGTCTAGGACAAGGGGACTGGAGAGTGGTGGGGTTGTGGGGTCCAGGCTTAGGTGGCAGTTGCTTGCGCAGTGTGAGGCGCCTCCAAAGCCCCCTGTAACCCTCTCTGAACTCCTCGGAGAGAGAAAGGACAATGAGAGGGTTTACCAAAGACAGAGAGAAGGTGAGCAGCTGAGCAGAAAGGATAAGGAGAAGGGGAGGAGAGGAAATAAGGGGCTGAGCTCCTTCAGTTTCCTTTTCTGCAATCTGGCGCTCCCAAAGCCACACAACCCAGTGAGGAATCCAGAGGACAGCCATGGCCACAGTGAGGCTGAAAAGCATTAAAGTGAGCTTCCTAGATCTGATCTGTGTACGCAGATTCTGACTCTTACTGGAACGGCGCTGGCACTGGCCATAAGCCTTCCAGAAATACATAAGGGCAATGCTCAGAGGTGCACAGTAGACCCCCAGAGGATACGCTTTCACATACACAGACATGAAATCCTGGGCTTCAGGAGGAACTGTCATTACGCACACCAGCCCACGGATCTCTCTCTGCAGCC